ACACTACTGAGCCGTGTGCGGGACGTACCCTCTGGGCAACTTTACCCCATCTTGGCTCAAACCACGTCGGGCACCATCGCGGGATCTACGTGCCGATGACAAAATGCACCACGTGTATTTCGCCGCGCTGGAAATGCGCGCGCGAATCGTCCCATGAACTGCACAACGGCGCGGTCAATATACGCTGCTGCCTTTCTCACGGCAGATTATCCACGGACGTATCACCCCCCATCTCAGTCTCAGTCACACATGTAGGAAGAACAACAAGTCGCTCGTGATGTGGGTGTCGTCTCACGGTTTCGCCGACGCGGGGTCGACCTTCACTCCTCCGCGCGGTTTAACATGCTGCCTATAGACGCCTGGGTCATGTTGTTAATACTGAAGCCAGACGCGATCGTACTGGCGTGCCAATGCACAGGTGACGGAACGGGCATCGCCTCGCTGTACGCGGCCACGTGGTTCCGCCCCACACCGATAGTCCCTGTCGGGAGGTCGCTGAAGGCAAATGTTACGGGGTCAGCGTTTTGGAGCGGCTGCTGCGCCGGTAAATCATCCCGTTTCCGGTTCAGATACGTGTGCCCGTTTTCGCCGTCGTGATCGTAGCAATCCGGGTTGTCGCATAAATTGACGATGAGCACCCCAAGGCGGCCCTCCGCATCCGGGGTCAAGTTCGGGATCTGCACCTGCAACTGCCCGGCGTACGCCGTTACGGCAACGAGTAACATGCCTGTAATCCACCAGCTTTTCATGTCTGCTCTCCTTTCTGGCGCTGATAGCCGTCCATGACCACCAGGGAGGCATAAATCGTCTCGTTGACCGGCGTCGGAACCCCCAAACGCCGGCCATGCCTCACCACCGCGCCATTGATAGCCTCGATTTCCGTGCGTCGGCGATGCTGAAAATCGACCGCCATGGAGGCGCTTCCCAGTTCGCCCTCCGCATCCAGATACGCCAGAATTTGCGTCGCGCTATCGGCGGCCAAGGCCACCCTCGCGGCGCGTGCCACGGCGGCTGCCTCCTCCATGACGTAGGTATATACGGTGCGGGTCGGCTGCCGAGCCAGAAGCTGGTTAGGCGAAAGACCCGTGAGGGCGGAGAGGCCGGCAAAGGCGCTGATCAGCACCAGTTTCTCCCACAGACTCTTGCGGATGCCCGGCGACACCACCGCAGGGATGTCGGCACTCTCCAGCAGGGTGCGTATTGGTTCGAGCGCTGCGTCGCCCTGCGCATCGAGGCTGCCGAATTCGATCGCGCGGTCGCGGGTCGGCTGTTCGATAACGCCCGGTTCGACGAGCGTCGAACCGATCCGTGTGATGCCGGCCAGTACCGTGCCGCGGCCGAAGGCTTGTTGCAAATCGGTAGGGGTATCGACCCCGTTCTGTAAGGTCAACAGGATGGTGTTCGGCCCCACCACGGGCTGCAAGAGCGCCGCTGCGTCGGCGGCGCCGTACGTTTTCACACAGAACAGCACGAAATCGGCCTCGGGCATGCCGGCCGGATCGGCGCATGCCTGAACAACCGGCAAAGTGAAATCACCATTGACGCTCTGCACCGTGAGGCCGCGCTCCTGCAGCGCTTGCAAGTTCGCGCCTCGGGCGATGAAGGTCACGTCGCCGCCGGCTCGTGCCAGCAGGGCGCCGAAGTAGCCGCCCAAGCCACCGGTTCCCATAATCACAATGCGCATGGATGGTTCCTGCTTCGACGTTATCGGATTGTCGGATTACGCCTGCGGCTAATCCGACCTACACGTTGTCCGTTTCCCATTCCGCGACAAACCGTCGGGTATGCTTGGGTGCGGCGGATCCCAACCGGGCCACCTCGGCACGCAGGCGCTCGAATTCTACCGGCGTGTCCACGTCGTACCAAGCCGCCAGCGACGTGGCTTCCAGGCCCAATCTCGCGGCGCGACGCAGGGTCTCGTCATATACCTGCGGCGTACTCCACGGCATGGAATCAAACAATTCAGGATGCAACCGCCGAAGGCCGATCAGGTAGTAGCCGCCGTCGTCGCTCGGTCCCAGTACCACGTCGGCGGCGGGCGCCGAGAGGGCATCGAGAGCCCGTTGCAGGTTTTCCGTGGGTAGGGTGGGCGAATCGCTGTCGGTGGCCATGACCGCTTCGTGACCCCTATCGAATAGCTGCTGAAAAGTGGAGCTCAGCCGGGCGGACAAGCTATCACCAACCTGCGGTAGCAGCAGAAAATCGGGCGCTAGTTGCGCAAAAAAGGGACGGCTTTCCGCCGGCGAGTATGCGATGACCGGAGTGGCATTGTGCAGCGACCTGACCTGGCTGATCCTGTCGCGCAGAAAACCGTCGTACAACGCCGCAATGTCACTGTCCGAGAGGAGCGGGCGCAGGCGGGTTTTCACGGCACCCGGCACCGGCTGCTTGGCCATGATGGCAACGGCAATCGATGTCATCGTGGAACTTCCTTTGCCAGTGGCTGGCATTTTGCCTTTACTGGCCACTATGCACTGATCACTAACCACTGTCTTTTCACCGGCCTCGCTGCCAGTTGAGCCACTTGCCCATGATCTTCCGCACCACGGGGGTGAGGCGCGTGCGGTTGTAGAGGTCGCCCGTTTTGCGCACCGCTTCGGCCTGCGTGGGGTATGGAAGGATGACCTTGGAAATTTTGCCCAATCCCAGGCCGTGGGTCATCGCCGTGGCGTAGATACCGATCATGTCGCCGGCATTGCGCGCCACAATGGTGGCGCCCAGGATCGTGTCGCCACCCTTCTTGACGTGCACCTTGGCGAATCCCTCGTCGTCGCCGTCGAGGATGGCCCGGTCAACGTCGTCAAAGGGCTGCGTGAAGGTGTCGATGGCGGTGCCGGCTGCCGCCGCGGTCGCCTCGGTCAGGCCGACGTGGGCGATCTGCGGCTCGGTGTAGGTGCACCAGGGAATGGTTAGCGCCGATGCCTTCTGGCGTCCCTTGAACAGGGCGTTGGCGATGACGATGCGGGCCATGAAATCGGCGGCGTGGGTGAACTGGAACCGCGAGCACACGTCGCCGGCCGCAAAGACGTGCGGGTTGCTGGTACGCAGGTTGTCGTCCACCTGCACACCCCGCGGCGTGTAGGTCACCCCTGCGGCATCCAGGCCAAGGCCGTCGACGTTTGCCGTGCGGCCGGCGGAGACGACGATGGTGTCCACCCCCACCTCGCGGTTGTTGCCGGGGCCGTCCTTGTAGCGCAGCACCTTGTCCTCGCCCTTGACCTCGACGGCGAACAGCGACGCCGACAGGGCCAGTTCGACACCATCGCGCAGCATCGATTCCTGCACGAGGTGCGCGGCGTCGGCGTCTTCCCGGTTGAGCACGTGGTCGCCGGTGTGAATAAGGGTGACTCGCGAACCCAGCCGGCGGAACGTCTGGGCCAATTCGCAGCCGATCGGCCCGCCGCCGATGACGGCCAGCCGCGCTGGACGCTCCGTCAGGCTGAACACCGTTTCGTTGGTGAGGTATCCGGCTTCGACCAACCCCTCCACCGGCGGCGCCACGGCTCGGCCGCCAGTGGCGATTACCGCCTTGGCGAACCGCAGCGTCTGTCCGCCAACCTCGATTTGCCGCGGCCCGGTGAATCGCCCTTCGCCGAGGAACACGTCAACGCCCGCCTCACTGTAGCGCTTCACCGAATCGTTGCGACTGATCTGCGCCCGCAGCCGCCGCATGCGAGCCATGACGGCCCCGAAATCCACCGTCGCTTCGCCGTTCGGCTGCACGCCGTAGTGCGGCGCGTCGCGCACGTCGGCCCATGCCGAGGCGGCGCGAATGATGCCCTTGCTGGGCACGCAGCCATAATTCAGGCAGTCGCCGCCCATCAGGTGCTTCTCGATCAGCGCCACCCGCGCACCCAGCCCGGCGGAGCCGATGGCCGATACCAGACCTGCGGTTCCCGCGCCCAACACCACCAGGTTGTACGGGTTGTTCGGAGCGGGGTTCTCATAATCCGCAGGATGCGTGTTGGCCAGCAGGTGCAGGTTGTGCTCGTCGGCGGGTGACACCTCGACAGCGGTAGCGCCGGTGGGTTGAGCGGATTCGGGAGCCATGTTCGCGTCCTCCTGTTTTTCCGGTGCCGGGCTACGCGGCTGCCTTGCCGGAGCGGGCCTTGATTTTCTTGTATACGACGGGGATCAGCGCCAGAACGGCCAAGCCGACGAGCGCCGTGATGATCTGCGGGGTGAGGATGCCGGCGGCGCTGAATTCGCCGCCCTGGTCAAACACGCTGCCCAGACCGGCCCCCACGGTGGCGAACACGAAGGTGCCGGGGATGATGCCGATGAAGGTGCCTATCACGTAAACGCGTAGGGAAACGCCCAGAAATGCCGGCACCAGATTGACCAGGAAAAACGGAAAAAGCGGTACCAGCCGCAGCACCAGCAGATAGCTCAGGGCGCCCTCCTGGAAGCCGTCCTGCATCCTTTGCAGCGCCGGACCGGCCTTGGCCCGCAGCGCGTCGCCGAACGAGGTCTTGGCGATCAGAAAAAGCGCCGTGGCGCCCACGGTGGCCGCAAAGACGACGCACACCGTGCCCCATTTCTCCCCGAACAGAAAGCCGCCGGTGATGGTCAAAACGGCGCCGCCGGGCAGCGAAAAGGCGATGGCGACGGCATAGATGAGCATGTAGATGAGGGCGGCGACGATGCCGTAGGTGTCCACCCAATTGAGCAGGGTGGCACGGTTTTCCCGCAGCGCCTCGAAGCTGAGGAAGCGACCGAGATCAAAGACGAAAAACGCCACGAGTCCGAGGGCCAGCACGCCAATGGGAATCAATCGTTTGTATGAAAACGAGGTGCCTTGGGGTGCCGTTGTGTCGTCCATACTGAGCCTCCTATTGTTGCGTGGACCTGTGACGGCGACAGCGGCATAGGCTACCCGTCCGGCCTGGCGTTGGCAAGGGGTATCTCGGCCTGTTGCGCTGCTGGGGTGAAGCCGCTACGATGCCGCGCCGGGCAGCCCTCGCTGCCTGCAAACCGATGCAAAACAAGAGGAGACGACGATGGCGATCAAGCGACATGACACCGGGCCGCGCATGAGTCAGGCGGTCGAGACCGACACCACCGTGCATTTGGCGGGCCTCGTGGCCAGCGAGCCGGTGGCCGATCCCAAGGCGCAAGCCGAGCAAATTCTTGCCAAGGTGGACAACTACCTGGCGCGCTGCGGCAGCGACAAGTCCAAGATACTGTCGGCCCAGATCTGGCTGGCCAACATGGCCTATTTCAGCGCCGTCAACGAAGTCTGGGACGCCTGGGTCGATCCCGCCAACCCACCGGCCCGCGCCTGCGTGGAGAGCAAGCTGGCGTCACCGCAGTACATGGTGGAGATCATGATCACGGCGGCGAAATAGTGGCCACCCTGGAAACGCCCCGGCTGCGCCTGCGGATGTTTTGCCAAGCGGACGCCGAGGCTTATGCGGACATGCTGGCCGACCCAGAGGTGGCGCGCTACCTGTCCCACGGCCAGCCGCTGTCGCCCTCGGAAGCCTGGCGGCACATGGCTATGCTGCTGGGCCACTGGCAACTCTTTGGCTTCGGCCCCTGGGCGGTCGAGGAACGGGCCAGCGGCGAGCTGGTCGGGCGCATTGGCCCGTACGACCCGGCTGGGTGGCCCGGCCTGGAACTGATCTGGACGATCCGCCGGCAGTCCTGGGGGCACGGATATGCCACCGAGGGTGCCCGTGCCGCCCTGGCCTACGTGTTTAAGCAGATGGGACGCGACCGGGTCATCAGTCTGATTCGTCCGCAGAACACGGCGTCGATACGGGTGGCGGAGAAGCTCGGCCAGCGGTTGCAAAACCGCATGGATTTTTACGGGGAAGAAGCCTTGGTCTACGGCATCCGCCGGGAAGAATGGCAGACGACACGTTGACCCACCGCCAGCGAAAAAGCCTCGGCATCCCGGACCGAAGCTACTTTCGATGCTCAATAGCCCTGCCCGCACGCGCCCCTGCCAACGCTTAACCGCCATCCGTGAGGATGGCGGTCCATGACTCGGGGTGGAAGTGGTGGCTTGCCTTTGTCGGGTAGGGCACTGGCGCGCGCACCCTTAGGCGGAGGGTTTCCGGTCTCGTCCTTTCGGTTGCGAGGTGGGTTCACATTTCCGCCTTAGGCCACGTTTCCAGCCGCCCTCCCTAAAATTCCGTACGTCGGGTTTTCCCCAGTACGGCTTCAAGCATCAGGCACCCTACAGTTCAGTACGGAGCCTTCCGCAGCATCGTCGAGGTCAAGGCTGATCCAGCCATACCCCCGATCGGATACCGCGTTTGCTCCGCCCTTCGACGATGCCACCCACCGACGGATATTCCGCCTCTGCGTGCGGAGCCATCGGCTGCAGCATCGCCACCTGAGCCCTGAGGCCCTCGCTCCGGCCGGGTTATGTTGTCCCGGCCATCACCGCTTGTCGGCCTCATCCGCCAGTCTGGAGACCTCCGTTTCATTTTCCCGGCACGGCCGGTTATAGACGCGGTCTTCGACATTCAAGGATCATCCTGTCTGATCCCCAGACCTTCCGGACTTTCACTGCTGTACTTTCGAGTATTGCCGCCTTCAATACGCCGGGAGCCCTGATGCGTGCACCTCAGTTCTTCCGCACCAACGCTGGCCATCGGGCAGGAAGAGGCCCTTGGCGGCTCCGTTTATCCCGCAAATCAGCTTCATGCAGGAAGTCCATTTTCGACGCTTAATCCGTTCGCTCTCGCTACGGCTCTACTCTTTGCTCGCCCCCCGGGCTGATCAGACAAAAGCGGCACGATGGCCTCTCCGTCCCCCAGGACTTTTACTTCCGGGCTTCCAGGTCGCAGGGTCGCCCCTTGCGCCTGCCGAATATGACTACGACGCCAAACTGAGAATTGCGCCGACGGGACTTTCACCCGCTAGTACAGCAGCTAGTCTCGCTGCACCATTCCCACCGGACTTTCACCGACTGCACTGACACCAGTCTGCTTGGCGCTCTCCGCTAATACTCGTCTCCCACTTGTAGAATCACTCAAACACGTTAACCAAAAGGCCGGAGGAGTTGAACATGGCTCAGATAGGCTTTTTCGATGTCGAGAAGCGTTACGCCGCTCTGGATGCCAAGAATGACCCCTTGGTGAAGATCAATGCCGTCGTTCCATGGGAAGCGTTCCGCAGCCGCCTGGAGAAAGTCTGGCGCAAGCCAGCCGACAAGCGTAGTCGAACGCAGGCTGCAAGGCCTGGGACGCCATCGTCATGTTCAAAGCCATCGTTCTGTGCGCCCTCTACAATCTGTCGGACGATCAGGTGGAGTACCAGATGCGCGACCGCCTCTTTTGTGCGCTTCCTGGGTCTGGCCCTTGAAGACAAAGTGCCCGACGCCAAGACCGTGTGGCTTTACCGGGAACAGTTGTCACAGGCTGGTGTGATCGACGCCTTGTTCAACGATTTTGACGGCTATCTGAAAACCCAAGGCTACCAGGCGATGGGCGGCCAGATCATCGATGCGTCGATTGTCGCGGTTCCCAAACAGCGTAACAATCGTGCTGACAACGCCCAGATCAAGCAAGGCGAGACGCCCAAGGAGTGGGCGGACAAGGCGGCCCGGCGGCGTCAGAAAGACACGGATGCGCGGTGGACGAAAAAGCACGGCAAGAGTCATTATGGCTACAAGAACCACCTCAACATCGACCGCAGGCACAAGCTGATCCGGCGCTATAGCGTGACGGACGCGTCGGTTCACGACAGCCAAGCGGTGATGACCTGCTGACTTCGGACAACACGGCAAGCGGTGTGTGGGCGGACAGCGCCTAGCGGTCGAAAGACATTGAGGAGAAGATCAAGGGAAAGGGTTTGACGAGTCGGATCCATCGCAAGGTTTGTCGTAACCGTCCGTTGCGTGATTGGGAGAAGGCCGGCAACAGAAGTCGTTCACGGTTTCGGGTCCGGGTAGAGCATGTCTTCGGGGCGCAGCACAACGACATGGGCGGGACGTTGGTTCGCAGCCTCGGGCTTGTGCGGGCGACGGCGCGCATCGGGCTTAAGAACCTCGCTTACAACATGCGACGCCTGGTTGGGTTGCAGCGTCTTGGGATGGTGGGTTGAGCGTAAGCGGTGCGCAAGGGGTGTACCGGATGTCATCTTTGACCATCCATGAGGACGTTGCAGTCAGGTTCTTCCCCGTCTTATACTTTTCCAGTCCCTGTCGCATATTCACTTCGAGAGACTTTCCGACTCATAACCACGCTGGAGACATTCAATGGCAACTGTACATAGCACCGGACAGGACCGGTGGGTCGTCCATATGAGCAGCCCCGATGAGTCCCAAATGACGGTCGAAGTTCACATGAACCTGGAAACAGCTAAGAAGATAGCGGAGCGCGAGACACAACGAATCGCCGCCTTGAATCCAGGTCACGACGACTTGGACCCTCAGACGGTCGCATCGGGCCGTTCTGTCGGTATTGGGCCAATTTGCGGCCGGGAACCGTCTATGACCGGTTAGTCTCATGCCATAATCCCCGCGACACGTTCCGCCTCTTCGCGCGTCGGGAAGCCGGCCAAAGGTATCGTCTGACGCCAACCACCTGCCGGGTTCGATATTTCTACGCGGAACGCCCCTTCCTCAGTGACCTTTACGACACGGCAAATGCATCTTTCGCCTAAGTGCTTCTCCAACAATGGGATCAAATCCTGCGGTTTGCACGCGGCCCTATGTCCCTTGATGAAGTCGACGTCGTTGGTGAGAATGGTATCGATACCTTCGAGCGCGCCCGCCGCGGCGACCTGTGCATCCTCGAAGGACAGGTCGTCGTAGCCTACTATGGCGGCCGTCAGCACATCTTCCGTCAAGGGTAAAACCTGAAGTAGCCGCATCGTATCAGCCGCGAGGCGACGTTCGCTCTCGGTCCGGCTTGGCCCGCGCGTTGCGCCGTGATGGCAGATTACCCCGAAAGCCGAGGCGCACACGAAACCTCTAACGGCATCGAGTTCCGCAAACGTCAGGGCGCGGGCCGCTGGGACGGCGTTCTCCCTCTGGCAAAAAACATCGAGCAGGACGTTGGCGTCGAATAGAACCTGGAGCGGTTCTCCTCGCTGAAGGCGTGCATCCAAGTCAAGGAGAATTGGGCCGCGACGCACTTTTTGCTTCCAACTCAGCGGAACTGTCTCCCTCAGCCTCATCGGTTGAATCGACGAGGGCACCGAACATCCTCTCCACGGTTGGCGAAAGGCCAGCTCGTAATGGGACCTGCCCCGGCACCTTCTGATCGCCAAGCATTACATCGTCGCGCTCTTCTGACATTGCCATACCTCCTTCCGAAGCCAACCTGCTCACCCTTCGTACCGTGCCACAGCGAATACGACGGACAACATGTAGGCTATGAAGTCCAACCGCCAAACGTCCGAATCATCGGTCAGACTCGCGACATGTTCATCGGGTCCGGCAACGGTTTCATGGACGATCGGTACTACAACTACACCACAACTACGGGACGATTCGCGAGCGGGGAACACAACCCCGCGGCGGCGCTTGCAGTTGCCCCGTCCCGCAACCCATCCACGTTGCCGTCGAGCCGTCCTCCACGCCGGGCCGAGCCCTCGCCCCGCAACGGCCGCGTCTCCGTGCCGCCGACAGGAAGAGCCTAGCCTTGCGCGGTGGCCGGATGTCCAGGGAAGGGCATCCCACCAATCCTGGCCACCGGCCTGAAGGAAACGACAACATACACCCAGCGGTCGCGCTTCCAGGCCATGGCCGACGGCGATATTCGCCGCTGGCCCGGCAAAGAGAGGCGAAGAAAGTGTAGGCGCTTGGTAAGGACCACACAAGAGCAACCTGAGTGCATTTCCGCACACTCACTTCTTGCACGCGCTGATCGCTACATTCTCACGAACTCCAGCCTCCCATAGCCACGGCTGGACATACCAGCCCGTCCAACTGCGAACTTCATACTCATCCAGCCCGACTTCACCCTTGGCCGCCTCGAAACACATCTCGATGCACCAACGCCGGCCTGCCACTGACACCAGGGTCGCCAACTCCGTCCGTGACGGAGGCAAACACCAAATAGGCCGTCAATTTCCTGTCCGCTTGCAAGCTGCGACGTACCAGCAAGTAGCGGCACCAATCCACTGCGCACGGCGCCATCAACCTCACACACTGCCAATCGTAGAGCCTCGGCCCCTTGCTGCCCGAACCCGCACTCAGCCGTTGCCAAGCATCCTCGTCGAGCCCCTCAAGCACCGATTTCACCGAGCGCTGCATGCCCCCAAGCCAGACATGCTCTTTGCTCGACACCGCCAGCACATAGGCTCTTTCCTGCCTTTCCAACCACCGCCGCAAGCGGCGCGCATCGCCGTAGGCACTGTCACCCACCACCCACGACGCAGGCACGCCAGCCGCAAAGGCTCGCTCAAGCATCGCCTGGGCCAACTCAGGCTTGGTGGCAAACCCTACCTCCGGGGCAATGCCCGCCCGCTGGCAGCGCTCAGGGTCCTTTGTCCACGACGCGGGCAGGTACAAGGCACGGTCCAGCAACGTCTGGCCAAAGCAACTGGCATAGGCCACAAACACACCGACCTGAGAGTTCTCCACCCGACCTGCCGTGCCGCTATACTGCCTGGCCACCCCGGCTGAGCGCGTGCCTTTTTTCAAAAATCCCGTCTCATCAACTGTCGTACTAGCCCTCCCCCACGGAGGGGGGAGGGGACCCGGACTGGGGGTCTCCCCCTCTCCCCTGGTGGGAGAGGGTCGGGGTGAGGGGGAGACCGGCGCCGGACGACCGAACGTGCAACCCGTCTGGAACACGTGAGCCAGTCTTTTCAAGCTGAGCCACCAGCCTCCCATATGGGAGGTATTTTGTTTTTAATTTTCGTGTATAGTGCGCCTCCGGCGTGTGGGCAATCGGCGCCCTTGGTCACGGCAACGACGTGATCAGAGATTCTGCCGGCGGGGAAGACCGCATCCATCTCACAAACGGAGGAGCACAGCGTGCCCGACAGGATCAGCGCGACAGGCAGTGTGACGGCAGGAAGTTCGGCGACGGGCGAGATCGAAACCGCCAACGGCTTTGCACGTGAAGAGGAGCGGGCCATGCAGGCACGGCGCCTCAGCGGCGTGCTCGGCAGGCCCGGCGCCGCCCCCGTCAAAAAGGGCTTGACATTCCCGGAATGCGGTTTTCATCTTGAGAGCCGAGCCGAGCCGAGCCGAGCCGAGCCGAGCCGAGCCGAGCCGAGCCGAGCCGAGCCGAGCCGAGCCGAGCCGAGCCGAGCCGAGCCGAGCCGAGCCGAGCCGAGCCGAGCCGAGCCGAGCCGAGCCGAGCCGAGCCGAGCCGAGCCGAGCCGGGAGCAGCACCGCCCGCCCCCGCCGCCTGACCGCCTGCCGTCCCCTCGGGGCGGCCATCCCTCTCCATCGACCGCATCCGCCGCCGGCCGGCCGGCGGGTTTCGCGCGTCTGGCCGGCGGGCGGCGCGGTCTCGTCCACTCCGTGCGGACGCTCGCCGCCGTGGCGCTGCTCGCGCTGGTCGGCGGCCTAGCCCTGCCGGCCACGACCCAGGCTCAGGCCCCCGGCGTGCTGGTGAGCAATATGGGCCAGGCCTCCGGCGGCCGCGGTAATAACATAAATGACACTTGGCTGGCAGCGCAGGGCTTTTCGGTCCCCAGCGGCGGCGGCAACTACACGCTCACCTCGATCGAGATTCTCGTTAGCCAAGACATTTCGTCCACGAATATCGGCTCGCTGAGCGTCAGCGTGTGGTCCGCCGATTCCTCGGGCCGTCCGGACAGTTCCCTGCATACCCTGACCAATCCGGCGAGCGTGACAGCCGACGTCGCGGCGAGCTTCACTGCCCCTGCGAGCGCAACGCTCGAGGCGGGTAACACCTATGTAGTCTTGGTGGATTACGACCTAACAGGTAATAGGAATTGGCTGAGCACGAATGCGAATAGCGAAGACGCGACCTCCACGGCCGGTTGGACCATCGCCAATACGGGCCTGTATCGTTCACGTACGGCCACGAGCTGGACTGTCCCACTCTTCGCCTTCTTTCTCCAAGTCAACGGCACCGCGTCCAACAACGCGCCGGTCTTCGCCGATGCGACGGCGACGCGCGAGGTGCCCGAGAACAGCGCGGCGGACACCGCCGTCGGCGCGCCGGTGACGGCGGACGACGCCGACACCGGCGACACGCTGGAATACTCCCTGGGGGGCACGGACGCGTCGTCGTTCGAGATCGATTCGGACACGGGCCAGATCAAGACCGTATCGTCGGGGACCTACAACTACGAGGCGGCGCAGAATTCCTACTCGGCGACGGTGACGGCGTCGGACGGCACCGACACCGACTCGATCGTCGTGACCATCAACCTGACGGACGTGGACGAGCAGCCGGACAAACCGGACAAGCCGACGGTGACGGCGGTCTCGGGCTCGTCCACAAGCCTGGACGTGAGCTGGACCGAGCCGGGGCTGAACGGCGGCCCGGCGATCACCGGCTACGAACTGCGGTACGAGACCCGGGCGAGCCCGACCGACCAGTGGACTCCCGTTGGCGACTGGCCGCACACGGGCACGACGACCACGACGACCATCACCGGGCTGACGGCGACCACGGAGTACCAGGTGCAGGTGACGGCGCTCAACGGCGAGATACAGAGCGCCTATTCGGACCCCTCCGACGTGGTCAGCACCAACGCGGGCTCCAACGCGCCGGTCTTCGCCGATGCGACGGCGACGCGCGAGGTGCCCGAGAACAGCGCGGCGGACACCGCTGTCGGCGCGCCGGTGACGGCGGACGACGCCGACGGCGACACGCTGGAATACACCTTGGGGGGCACGGACGCGTCGTCGTTCGACATCGATTCGGGCACGGGCCAGATCAAGACCGTATCGTCGGGGACCTACAACTACGAGGCGGCGCAGAATTCCTACTCGGTGACGGTGACGGCGTCGGACGGCACCGACAACGACTCGATCGTCGTGACAATCAACCTGACGGACGTGGACGAGCAGCCGGACAAACCGGCCAAGCCGACGGTGACGGCGGTCTCGGGCTCGTCCACAAGCCTGGACGTGAGCTGGACCGAGCCGGGGCTGAACGGCGGCCCGGAGATCACCGGCTACGAAGTGCGGTACCGCAGCCGGCCGAGCGCGCCCGACGCCTGGAGTCGTTCTGTCGACTGGCCGCACACGGGCACGACGACCACGACGACCATCACCGGGCTGACGGCGAACACGGAGCACCAAGTGCAGGTGGCGGCGCTCAACGGCGAGATACCGAGCGCCTATTCGAACAACTCCGACGTGGTCAGCACCAACGCGGAGACGCTCACCGCGCCGACGATCACCGAGGTGGCGGTGACCTCGACGCCGCAGGCGACGTCGGACACCTACGGGGCGGGCGAGACCATCGAGGTCACGGTGACCTTCGACCAGACGGTGAACGCCACGACCGGCACGGACTTCGTGCTGTCCGTGGCCGGCCGCAAGCGCGCGCCGCTGAGCAGCGGCTCGGGCACGACGACGCTGGTGTTCGGCTACACCGTGCAGACCGGCGACAGCGACGACGACGGCATCTGGATCGGGGACCAGGACCGGACCCTGGTCGGCAACCGCAACGGGGATCCCCAGAACGGGACGATCACGAGCGTGGACACCGCCACGGCGGCGGACCTCACCCATAGCGCGCTCGGCGTGCTGTCCGGCCACAAGGTGGACGGCAGCAGTGGGACGCCGCCGCCCACGACCTGCACGCTGAGCACCGGCGACCTCTGGTGCGGCGTGGTGACGGTGGGGACGTACTCTAACGGAGTGGGCTTCACTGACAGCGAGGGCGCCCTGACCGACAACACCGGGGACCAGACGATCACCATCGGGTCGGCCAACTACATGATTTCTTCTGTGGTCATCTTGGCGAGCCCGGCGGGGGCGTTGGTGATGGGACTCGACACGCGGTTCCCGACTGATGACGAGACCACCCTGGTGTTTCATATCGGCAGCAGCACGTTCGAGGTAAGCGAGGCCACCTTCGACACCGGGGTCGGGGGCTACATCTGGCAAGATTCCGGTCTGAGCTGGTCCGTCGACGACACGGTCGATCTGCGTCTGCGGCGGGCCACGGCCCCGACGATCGACGCGCCGACGATCGACGACGTGGCGGTGACCTCCACCCCGGCGGCGACGGACACCTACGGGGCGGGCGAGACGATCGAGGTCACGGTGACCTTCAGCGAGGCGGTGACCGCCACGACCGGCACGGACTTCGTGCTGTCCGTCGGTGGGGGCCAAGCGCGCGCCGCTGTTGCGCGGGTCGGGCACGGCGACGCTGGTGTTCGGCTACACCGTGCTGGCCGCCGACGCCGACGACAACGGCATCTGGATCGGGGACCAGGACCGAACCCTGGTCGGCAACCGCAACGGGGACCCCCAGAACGGCACGATCACGAGCGTGGACACCGGCACGGCGGCGGACCTCACCCATGCCGAGCTCGGCCAGCAGTCCGGCCACAAGGTGGACGGCTCGCTGTCCGAGCCCGAGCCGGTGGAGCCGGTGGAGCCGCCAGAGGTGACGCTGCATCTGAGCGACGCGGACGGTGAGGTCGGCGAGGACGCGGGCGCCGTCACGGTAACGGCGACGGTGTCGCCGGCCTCGGCGACCGCCTTCACGGTAACGGTATCGGCGAGGCCGGTGGCCCCGGCGACGGACGACGACTTCGAGCTGAGCACGAACCGGGCGCTGAGCTTCGCCGCGAACGCGACCGCGAGCAGCGGGACGGTGACGATCGCGCCGGTCGACGACGGCGACCCCGAGTCGAACCAGGTGGTGACGGTGTCCGGCTCGGCGTCCATCGAGGGCGTGACGGGCCCCGACGACGTGACCCTGACCATTCTCGACAACGACCTGGTCCGCATCGCTGGCATCTGCAACCGCACGCCGCGCGTCCGCGACCGCATCCTGGAGCTGCTGATGTACCGGCACAGCTTCCAGGGCCGCTGCGGCGACGTGAACGAGACGCATCTGGCGCAGCTGGTGTCGCTCGACCTGGGCCGCAACCCGAGCACGGAGTCGGCGTTCAGGATGAGCCTGCGGAGCTACGACTTCGAGGGGACTGGTGAACCTCGAGCGGCTGTACCTGAGGGACACCGGGCTTCGCTCGCTGCCGGCCGGGGTGTTCTCCGGGCTGGCGGCGCTGGTAACGCTGGAGCTGGACAGCAACCAGCTTCGCTCGCTACCGGCCGGGGTGTTCTCTGACCTGCAATCTCTGGAGACACTGGAACTACACAGGAACCCGCAGTTGAGCTCGCTGCCCTACGACGAGTTCGAGGCGCTGCCGAATCTGACGAAGCTGCTGGTGGACCCGGAGGGCCGCAGAGGGTACCAGATGGCGGGCGGCGAGGGCGACGTGACCTTGGAGGTCGCGGCGGGGGGCCGGACGACGTATCAGGTGCGCCTGACGCACACGCCGGCCTACGTCGGGACGGCAAGCCTGCCGACGTTGACGGTGAGTTCGGACACGACCGGGGTGACCGCGACCCCGGCGACGCTGCGGTTCACCAAGGAGAACTGGTTCCGGCGCCAGACGGTGACGGTGAACGCCCCGGCATCGGCGGCCGGCGAGACGGCGACGCTGAGCCACACGTCCACCGGGGTGACGTATGACCGGCCGATCCCGACGGTGACGGTGCGGGTGCTGGGGAGCGCCCCCGGCCGCACGGCCGATCCGCTGACGGCGGCGTTCGAGGGGGTGCCGGCGCGGCACGACGGGGAGACCGCGTTCAGCTTCCGCATCGCGTTCAGCGAGGCGGTCGCGGTGACGCCGGAGGCCATGCGCACGCACGTCCTGACGGTGGAAGGCGGCGCGGTGACCGGCGCGGCCCGCGTCGACGGGGACACCGGCGTGTGGGCGATCACGGTCACGCCGGCCACCCGCGAGGAGCTGTCGATCGCTCTGGCCCCGGCGGCGGATTGCGCGGCGGACGGCGCGGTCTGCACATCGGACGGTCGAGCCCTGTCGAACGGGACGGCGGCCATCGTGATCGGCCCGGGTCCCGAGACCCAGACGCAGCCGGACCTGACGGCGGCGTTCGAGGGGGTGCCGGCGGCGCATGACGGCGAGGCCGCGCCGGCGGCGCTGACGGCGAGTTTCGTGCAGGCGCCGGCGGAGCATGGCGGGAAGACGGCGTTCAAACTCAGGATCGCGTTCAGCGAGGACATCTCGATCAGCTACCGGACGTTCCGCGACCAGTCGTTTTCGTGTCCGGCGGGAGCGTGACCAGGGCGAAGCGGGTGGACCGGCGCAGGGACCTGTGGAAGGTGACGGTCAAGCCGGGTTCGCTTGGCGACGTGACGGTGACGCTCGCCGGGGGCCGCGCCTGCGGCACGCCGGGGGCGGTGTGCACCGGCGACGGGCGGGCGCTGTCGGCGACGATGTCGACGACGGTGCTGGGTCCGGCGACCGCGCGGCGCCTCACCGGTACCGCAGACGACGACACGCTGAGCGGGCAAGCGGGTGATGACGTGCTGCTCGGCAACGGCGGCGACGACACCCTGTACGGCGGGGGCGGCGGCGACACCCTGTACGGCGGCGACGACGACGACACGCTCTACGGCGGCGGCGGCAACGACGTGCTCTACGGCGACAGCGGCGCGGACAGCCTGACGGGCGGTACGGGCGCCGATACGTTCGTGTTCACCGCCGGTGACGGCACCGACACGATCACCGACTTCTTCCCCGAGGAGGGCGACCGCATCGACCTGAGCGCCTTCGCGGGCCTTAAGGGTTTCGCGTCGCTGAAGCTGACGGCGGACGGCAGCGCGACGATCCTGGACTTGCGCGCCTATGGCGGCGGCACGGTGCGGCTGGAGGGCATCGCGGTGGCGGACCTGTTGGCGGCGGACTTTCTGTGGCCGTAGGGCGTTGCTCCGGTGCCGGCGCACGGCCTGCCCCCGTTCAAGCCGGGGGCAGGCCGTGCGCCGGAATGACCGCTTGGGGCGTTGGACGGTGCGGCACAGGTGCTCTGCGCGTCGCAACGTCGGGTTACGCCTGCGGCTAACCCGACCTACATCTTGGCAACTTGTCAGCCCATCTTGAGGCGTCTGTTCCAACAGTTGCCGCCCAGAACGCCATCGTCCGCAGGCATAGGTCCCGCCTGCACGTCAAGCCCGGCATCCATCGGCAGCCAGCGGATTCCCGCCCCCGATCGGAGCCAAGGGCAGGCTCCGCGCGGCAATGACCCTTTGGGGCACGCCACGCCAATTCTCCAAAGCCGCGTAACATCAGTTAAGACCTTGACAAAGAAACGATTGATTCGTCACCACTGCATTCAGGAAAGGAGCGTTTCTCAGTTATGACTCGCCGACTCCTTGCGGCGGCGGTGTCTTGCCACCGCGACCCCCCAACGCCCCCACCTTGCCGCGCATAATGCTCCCGACAACCCCGAAAATATCTTTTTGCGATAAGATGCGCTCAAGTAAACGTTGTCGAGATCGGGAGGTCATCACCTCATGAGCAACGAAACGTCACACCGCGCCTCGGGGGCAGACTGCACGGAAACTGCTCTAAATCCGGCCGCATGGGAGTACGACGGGGCGTTGCCGCCATGGAACGGCTGCGGCACGGATGCATGAATTCGCGGCCAGCAACTATTCCCGGCATATCCTGGCCGTCGAAGTCGGGGAAGCAACAGAAGGGGGAAAACACACTATGGATGCGACGGCGCTGCACCGAGACGCGGTCGTTTTCGACGGGCTGATCGTGGCCAACTGGAGCCGCGAGGTGTTCGAAGACATGCGCCGCGGCGGCTTGACGGCGGCGAACTGCACGTGCTGTATATGGGAAGGCTTCGCCGACACGATGAAGAACGTCGCCCGTTGGAACGCCTGGTTCCGGGAGCACGACGACGTCATCCTCAAGGTTCGCACCCCTGCCGACATTGGCCGGGCGAAGGCCGAGGGCAAGACCGGAATCGTCCTCGGATTCCAGAACGTCTCCGCCTTCGAGGACCAGCTCGGCTACATCCAGCACTTCAAGGACGTCGGCGTTGGCGTCGCCCAGTTGGCCTACAACACGCAGAACCTCATCGCCACCGGGTGCTATGAATCAGAGGACCGGGGGCTGAGCGACTTTGGGCGCGAAGTCGTGGCGGAGATGAATCGGGTGGGCATTTTGTGCGACCTGAGCCACGTCGGCTCGAAATCATCCAGAGACACGATCCTCGCGTCGGACAAACCCGTCGCCTACACCCATTGCCTGCCGTCGGGGCTCAAGGAGCACCCGCGCAACAAGTCGGACGACGAGTTCCGGTTCATCGCCGATCACGGCGGCTTCATCGGCGTCACGATGTTCCCCCCGTTCCTGAGGCGTGGCATCGAGTCCACGGTGGACGACTACGTGCAGGCCATCGATTACGTGGTCAACGTCGCGGGCGAGGACAGCGTCGGCATCGGCACCGACTTCACCCAGGGCTACGGGCGGGAATTCTTTCACTGGATCACCCACGACAAGGGCTACGCCCGGCGGCTCACGGAGTTCGGCGAGATCGTCAACCCGGAAGGCATCCGGACCATCGGCGAGCTCCCGAACCTGACCGCCGCGATGGTTCGGCAGGGTTGGCCGGAGGCGCGAATCCGGAAAATCATGGGCGAAAACTGGCTGGCACTGCTCGCCCGGGTGTGGGGCGCGTAGGCCGCAAGGCCGCACCGGAAGTCTCCGGCAAGGAGCGGTCTCTCCGCTCTGGAAATATGTTCTGAGAAGGAATCTAATTCACAGGACAGTGTTATGCTGGTTATTTCAACGACGGATGGGGCGGAACCCTTCCAGTTCCAACTGTTCCCTGTGTGGATTTGATCACGCCCTCATTTGCAGAAAGGATTCCACGTCATGTGCAAGGTACGGCTCACGCGGAAGCAGTACGGCGTCCTGGGTTGCCTCCTCATAACACTCGTTGCACTGGCACTTGGTGGCGGGGTGACGCGACAGGCATCGGCACAGGGCGGGGGTACGCTGATGGGCCGGCTGGAGGGGCCGCGGGTCATCACGGACCGGGAGCAGTTTCCCAAACGGTTTCACGAGGCGCCGGCTCTGGCGGACCTGGTGCAGCAAGGCGAGCTGCCGCCGGTGCAGGAACGCATCGGTTCAGATCCCCTGGTGATCGAACCGGTGCGGGAGATCGGCAACTACGGCGGTATCTGGCGGCGCGGTTTCAGTGGACCCGCCGACTTCTGGAACGGTTACCGTTGTTGTGGGCACGACAAGATCCTGTTTTGGGACTATACCGGGAATATCGTGGTGCCGAATGTCGCCAAAGGGTGGGAGATCTCGGAGGGCGGACGTGTCTTCACCATCTTTCTGCGCCGTGGCATGAGGTGGTCTGACGGCCGTCCTTTCACGGCGGACGACTTCATGTTCTGGTACGAAGATATCTACGGAAACGACGAGCTGGTTCCGACGAAAACACCCATTCTGGCCATTGATGACAAACCGGGCAGGATGGAGAAGGTAGACGATAGCACCATCCGGTTTGTCTTCCCCCAGCCCTACTACGTCTTCCTCGATATGCTGGCAGGTGCGACGGCGCTTGGCGGCCACAGCTACCAGGGACGCAGCCTCATGGGCGGCTTTGCTCCCAAACATTATCTGCAGCAGTTTCACCCCAGGTACGTCGGGCAGGAAGCGGTTGACCAATTGGTCAAAGCCGCCGGGTACGATAACTGGGCCAGTTTCATGAGATTCATCAATGATTGGTCCCTCAACCCGGACTTACCGACCGTGACCGCCTGGCAGACCACCCGTCCGATCAACACCCTACTTGGGTGCTCAAACGCAACCCCTATTTCTACATGGTGGACACCGCCGGTAACCAGCTTCCCTATATCGACAAGGTGGTCCTGTCGCTGGCAGAGAATCTCGAAGTCCTCAACCTGCGCGCCATGGCCGGCGAGTATGATTACCAGTCCCGGCATATCGACATCAGTAAGCTGCCGGTCTTTCTGGATAATCAGCAGCGCGGCGATTATACCGTCTCCCTCGATCCGGCAGACAGTGGCTGCGACGCCTGTCTCTTCTTCAACCAGACCTATGATGCAGACCCGGAAATCGCCACTTGGCTGCAAAACCGTGACTTTCGTATTGCCTTGTCTCATGGGATTGAACGCGAGCAGTTGAACGAGGCCTTCTGGCTGGGTCTCGGCACCTCCGGGTCACAAGTGCTGGCCGAATCGTCGCCGTATAATCCAGGGCCGGAGTACCGTACGATGCACTCGACGTACGATCCGCAGCGGGCCAATCAGATGCTGGATGCCTTGGGACTGACTCGCAAGGACAGCCAGGGCTACCGCCTGCGGACGGATGGCAAGGGCCGCTTGCGCCTTGAAATGACCACTGTCGGGGGCCAGTTTTTGCAGTTCACGCAAATTTCGGAAATGATTCGGGAGCAATGGGGCAAAATCGGCATTCAGGCAGACGTCAATGAAATCGAACGGAGTCTGGCGATTACACGCGTGGGCGCCAATGAGCTTCAGATCCACCTGTGGCAGAACGACGGTACCGAACACCCCTTTACCTTCCCGGCGCATCTCTTTCCATTCACCCCCAGCGGCCTCGGCGGTTCCAACATCGGGCCCCTGTGGAGTCGCTGGTTCCGCACCAATGGGGTGCAAGGCCGAGAGCCTTCCGCCCCCATGAAAAAACTTATCGCGCTTTGGAAACAGGGATTTACAGTCCCTGATGCGCAGCGCGTCGAGATCGGCAAAGAAATTTGGCGTCTGGCTGTCGAGCAGCAATGGGCCCTCGGCACGGTCGGCCTCTCCCCGGCCGGCATGGGGGTGCGAATCGTCAGCAACCGCATGGGCAATTCTCCGGGTCGGCAATACAACAGCCCGGACGGCATGACGCCGGCGCCGTCGCGCCCCGAAACCTTTTTCTTCAAGTAGAGGCCCTTTCAATGGCTGGTTACATCCTCCGCCGTTTGTTGGTTGCAATGGGCACGGTATGGGTGATCTCCGTGATCTCCTTCACCATTATTCAGCTGCCTCCAGGGGATTACGTCACGTCCTATATTGCCCAATTGATGGCGACCGGAACGTTGGTGACGCAAGAGGAAGCTGAGAACCTGCGCATTCAGTACGGCCTGCACCAACCCATGTACGCCCAATACGCCAGATGGGTATGGCTCATGCTGCAGGGAAATTTTGGCGTGTCCATGGAATGGCAACGGCCGGTGCTGGAGGTGATCGGCGATCGTCTCCTGCTGACCGCTTTACTGGCCTTTGCGGCGGTCATTTTTACCTGGATCCTGGCCATCCCGATTGGCATCTACTCGGCGGTGCGGCAATACTCCATCGGGGATTACATTTTTACCTTCATTGGCTTCATTGGCCTTGCGGTGCCGAGCTTCCTGCTGGCCTTGGTGGTGATGTACCTGACGTTTGCTTATTTCGGTGCCAGTATCGGTGGCCTGTTCTCGACGGAATACCTCGACGCCCCATGGAGCCTGGCCCGTGTGTGGGATCTCTGCAAGCATTTGTGGGTTCCGGCGCTTATTCTTGGCACGGCCGGTACGGCCCAACTGGTGCGCATTCTGCGTGCCAATCTGCTGGACGAGTTGCGCAAACCCTATGTCGTGACGGCCCGCGCCAAAGGGCTTTCAGAGCTGAGAACGATCCTCAAGTACCCGGTACGGGTCGCCCTCAATCCGTTTATCAGCACGATTGGCTATACCCTGCCCTTTCTCGTCTCCGGCAGCATCATCGTCTCTATCGTGCTGAGTCTGCCGACTGTGGGGCCCCTGCTGCTCAAGGCCCTCATCGCCCAGGATATGTTCCTGGCTGGAACCATCGTCCTGTTGCTCGGGCTCATGACCGTCATCGGCACTTTGATCTCCGACATTCTCCTGGTCTGGATCGATCCGCGCATTCGTTTGGAGGAGTAACCGGTGGCCAAAAACGCCCTCGTACACAGCGTCGAAGAGCCCAGGGCGGCAGACGCGACAGACGCTGGTGAACGACTGTACGTGGCCTCGCAATGGCAGCTGATGTGGTGGCGATTTCGCAAACACCGCTTGGCCATGGCGGCCGGGGCAGTCGTCGTGCTTTTCTATGTAATCGCCATTGGCGCCGATTTTGTGGCCACAACGGATCCCAATCTCTCCGATGCCCGGCGCTCGCTCATGCCGCCGCAACGTATCTACTGGTTCGAGGACTGGCGCTTCAGGCCGCATGTCTACGCGGTGACGGGCAAACGCGACCTCCGAACGTTCAAGCGTGTGTACACCACCGATCCGAGCAAAAAGATCCCGGTGCAGTTCTTCGCACGCGGTTTTTCATACACCTTCCTCGGTCTGTTCCCTACCGACCGTCATTTGCTGGGCGTCGGCGAGGGGTATGAAGCAGCCGAATCGCTGTTTATTCTCGGCACGGACGTGCAGGGACGCGACCTGTGGTCACGCCTCCTGTTTGCGACGCGTATTTCCTTGTCCATTGGCCTCGTTGGCGTCGCGCTCAGCCTGTTTCTGGGGATCTTGCTTGGCGGTCTCTCTGGCTTTTACGGGGGCTTTGTGGACGGTCTCATCCAGCGCTTCATCGAGATCCTGCGCTCCATCCCGACCATCCCGCTGTGGATGGGTCTGGCTGCGGCGTTGCCACGCGACTGGTCCATCTTGCAGATTTACTTTGCCATTACCATCATCATCTCGCTGCTGGGCTGGACTGAACTGGCCCGCGTCGTGCGTGGACGTTTTCTGGCGCTGCGCGAGGAGGATTTTATTGTTTCTGCCCGCCTGGTTGGGTGCAGCCAGATGCGCATTATTTTCGTACACATGGTCCCGTCATTCCTGAGCCATATCATTGCCGCCACCACGCTCGCCCTACCGGCCATGATTATCAGTGAGACCTCCTTAAGCTTTCTCGGATTGGGCTTGCGTCCCCCTGCCGTGAGTTGGGGTGTGTTGTTGCAGCAGGCCCAAAACGTCCAGACGGTGGCGCTCTCCCCCTGGCTGATGCTGCCTGCCGTTCCGGTTATCATCGTGGTCCTGGCGTTCAACTTCCTCGGCGATGGGTTACGTGACGCCGCAGACCCGTACGGACAGTGAAGGATGGGATAGTTTCATGACGGATGATGCCAACACCCCTCTTGCCCTTCGTTCCTCTGGCCCTCCCCTTCTCTCCGTCCACAATCTACACACGTACTTCCCTCAGGAAGAAGGGACGGTCAAGGCCGTCGATGGCGTCAGCTTCGATCTCTACCCCGGCCGCACGCTCGGTATTGTGGGGGAAAGCGGCTGTGGAAAGAGCATGACGGCCAGGTCGATCTTGCGAATTGTTGACCGCCCCGGGCGTATTGTCGCCGGGGAGATCCGGTTTCGCCGCCGCAAAGTGTCGGCCACGTCGCCAGACGGCATGACCGACCTGACGCAACTCGATGCCAACAGCGATGACATGCGGGCGGTCCGCGGCGCCGAAATCGCCCTCGTCTTCCAAGAGCCGATGTCATCGTTCAGTCCCGTCCATACGATAGGCAATCAGATTGTCGAAGCCATCCTGTTGCACCAAAAGGTAAGCAAACGGCAGGCACGGGCACGCGCCATCGAGGTGTTCCGTGACGTTGGCATTCCCCTCCCAGAGCAGCGTCTCGACGCCTACGCGCATCAATTGAGCGGCGGCTTGCGTCAGCGCGCCATGATCGCCATGGCCCTGGTGTGCAACCCCAGCCTGCTGATCGCCGACGAGCCAACCACGGCGCTGGACGTCACAACCCAGGCGCAGATTCTGGATCTCTTGCGCCACCTGCAACAAGAATACGGTATGGCCATCATGCTCATTACCCATGACCTCGGGGTCATCGCTGAAATGGCGGATGACGTCGTGGTGATGTATCTCGGGCGCGTTGTCGAACACGCACCGGTGGACGAACTCTTCCACGCCCCCAAACATCCTTACACGCAAGCCCTGCTACGCTCGATTCCCCATATCCGCTCCCGCCCGCGTGAGCGCCTGGCATCTGTCGCCGGGTCCGTGCCGCATCCGTACAACCGCCCGACCGGGTGTCCGTTTCACCCACGCTGCGAGTCGTTCATGCCGGGTGTTTGTGACCAGCAGGCGCCAAGCCTGTTGCCAATCGGCGAGCAACATGACGTGAGTTGTGTGCTTTACCACGAGGAGCGCTCATAGTGCGTGTGCAGAACGTTGAGGAGGCGGATGTGAGTGCGGAGAACGGCGGGGCCTTGTTGGACGTCAGAGACCTGCAGAAGCTCTTCCCGATTCGTAAGGGCTTTTGGAAGCGGACCGTGGGGCATGTGCGGGCCGTTGATGGGGTGAGTTTCACCCTCAATGAAGGGGAAACGCTCGGGCTCGTGGGGGAGAGCGGTTGTGGCAAGACCACTACCGCACGCTGTATTTTGCAAGCGCTGAAGCCAACCCAGGGACAAATCTTGTTCCGCACGGAGGCGGGCGCGGTCGTCGACGTGGCCACCTTGGACAAAACCGAGCTGCGGGCGCTCCGACGAGAAATGCAGATGGTCTTCCAAGACCCCTTTACGTCTCTCAACCCGCGCATGACCCTGCTCGACATTGTGGGCGAGCCTTTACGGGTACATGGGATGAAGAAACGCCGTGAACGCGAAGCGCGGGTGGCCGAACTCCTGCGTTTGGTTGGGCTGCGGGCGGAATACATGCGGCGCTTCCCGCACGCCTTCAGTGGTGGCGAACGGCAACGCATCGGCATTGCCCGGGCTTTTGCGCTGCATCCACGCCTGGTGATCGCCGACGAGCCGGTATCGGCGTTGGACGTCTCTGTGCAAGCGCAAATTCTCAACTTGCTGCTTGACCTGCAAACGGAGCTGCGCCTGACCTACCTTTTTGTGGCGCATGACCTGAGTGTGGTGAAGCATATTAGCGACCGGGTGGCCGTCATGTATGTTGGGCAGCTGGTCGAGTTAGCACCCACTGAGCAGCTTTTTATGGCTCCCAAACACCCTTACACGGATGCCCTGCTTTCCGCCGTGCCTGAACCCGACCCGCGCCAGCGTACACGACGTATTGTCCTGCAAGGCGAGGTGGCCAACCCCGCCGATCCGCCCTCCGGGTGTTACTTTCACCCCCGTTGTCCACATGCAATTGAGGTTTGCCGTACGCAGGCGCCGACGTGGGAAGAGGTCGCACCGCAGCATTTTGCGCGTTGTCACCGCGCCCACGAGTTGCAGCTCATAGGTGTGGAAGAAGTCGCCAGGACCACCTAAGCTGTCTATCAACCGCTGGCGCCAGGAATTTGGCGGCCTGAAGATCAGTCAGGTCAAACGCCTCAAGGAACTCGAAACCGAAAACGCCCGCCTGCGGCGCGCCGTATCGGACCTGCCCCTGGACAAGGTCATCTTGCAGGAGGCCGCCCGGGGAAACTTCTGAGCCCCGCACGCCGCCGTCTTTGTGTCGAGCATATCCGAGAGCAACTGGGCATCTCGGAGCGCCGTGTCTGCCGAGCACTCGGGCAGCACCGCTCGACGCAGCGCAAGCCGCCGCAGGGGCGCGGGGACGAGGCCCGCCTGACCGAAGACATCATCCCAATATCTCACGAAGTGTCATTCGATCGTTGAAGGGGAGAAAATACAATCCGGTATCCGGGTCTGGCTCATCGAGAAGCAGTTTTACAACTCAGCTTGCTATCTGGCTTCCATTTGGTATGTAATCAATACTCCGATGTGTACACTGCTATCCAGGATGGGAATCGAAGGGGCGAGCTGGAACTCGAATCACGGTCATGTCGCACGTGGGTGTCGCATGGCCCTCGTATAGAGGAATCATCAGATGCCAGTTCAGACGTTTGAACCGATGACTAAAGATTTTGCGACATTTGACTGCGATGCCCACGTGACGGAACCCGCCCGCATTTGGGAACGGGCACCCGAACATTTGACTCGGGACGAGCTGGAGGCCCTCAAAGCGACGATCTGGTGGGACGCAGAGACGCAGCAACTCATCGTCAATGGAAGAGCGGGCGCGGGCATTGGCTCCCAGAGTCGCGGCGGCATTCCCGGCACCATGCGGGTGATTACGAACGCCGGACCCGGGGTTAAACACGACATTCAGCGCGCCCTCAATGTGCGCAATCTCAACCCCGAGACGGCGCTCACCCAGGAGCAAGTTGCGTACTTGGATCATCCCGGCTCCTACGAGCCCGAGCCGCGCCTGCGCGATATGGACGTACAGGGCATTGACCAAGTAATGATCATTCCCACCGATATCGATACCTACCCGTGGTTGCAAAACGCTGTGGGCGCCAAGGCGTTTTGCAAGGCCTACAACGAGTGGGCCTACGAGTACACCCTGGCTGATCCGCAACGGCTCTTTTTTGCCGCCATGCTCCCCATGCAGAATCCCAGATATGCGGCAGATGAAGTCTACCGCGTGGCTGAACAAGGATGCCGCGTGGCGCTGGTGCGCCCCATCGACGCCATGGGCAATTACCCCTTGCAACCCAAATACGAGCCTGTCTGGCAGGCGATGGCCGACACCGGCGTGGTCTACGGCATGCACCCATTCCCTGCTGGTGGCAACCTCAAGCCGTCGGGTTATGCCGAACAGCATTCCAGCGCCGAGCTGATTCGGAGAACCGTATCGACGTCAGGTCTGCCGCACTCGTTGCTGTCCAACGTGCAGAATTTTCAGGCCGAGGCTTCTCTCTGGGTAACCCTGGTGCTGATGTCCGGTTTTTTCGAGCGCTATCCCACGATCAAAGCCGCCGTGTTTGAAGCCTCCTCCACGTGGCTGAGCTTCCTGCTCGACGAGTGTGACAAGGCCTATAAGCTCTATCGCAACGAGCGCCAACTGCCGCCCCTCAAACGCTTACCCAGCGAGACCTTTTTTCAGCACTGCATCACCGGCTTTGAGGGCGATGAAGCGCCCCCGTCACGCTTTCCCGAATTCTACCGGGACATCCTGGCCTGGTCCTCAGATGTCTACCACCACGACGGCGATGACGCTTGGCGGGCCATTGAGATGATGCAGCAGTGCAACCTGTCGGTCGATGACCAGGCTCGGTTCCTGGGGGCAAACGCTCGCCGCCTGTACATGATTGAACCGCCCAAGAACATCATCCGCGAGCGGGTTTGCCAAATTCAACGGCCCGATTGGTGGCCGACTGAGGCGGAGGTCGAAGCCTCCCTTGCACCCGAAGCCTCTGTGACCCATCGTTAGATCGGAGAGACATGATGACCCGACAAAAGAACTTTGCGGTCTTCGACGGCGATGCCCATGTGGTGGAGCCGCGGACGGTATGGGAGCAGTACCTCGATCCCGAGTACCGGGTGTTGGGCAAACACGCCTTATGGCGGGAGGATGGCAAGACCAATGCCTACCTCAAAATCAACGGTGAGATACATCGGGATACGACAAACATCAACCTGCCTCGGCACGCTCTGTGGCGGCCCGGCATGACCTGGGATTCGGTCGGCGAGTTGGACCCCGATGTCCGCCACGCCATGAACGAGGGCGCCTGGGAGCCTCAGGCTCGGCTGCGAGACATGGATGCCATGGGCGTGGACCAGACCCTGCTCTACCCCACGTGGTTTGCCGAAGGGTTTCACCTGGTGCATGACCCCGATGTTGCCTATGCGCTGGCCCGCGCCTATAACCATTGGATTGCCGATTTCTGCCAGGCGGCCCCGGAGCGCCTTTTTGCCGTGGCCATGGTGCCGTTGCAGAACATGGATTTCGCCCTTGAGGAACTTCAGCGGGTCGCTGACATGCCCTGTTTCCGCGCGGCGTTTATCCGGCCGATGTTTATCGAGGAGCGCTACTTCACCCATCCCTACTACGACACGCTGTGGGCGGAACTGGAGCGCCTGGGACTGACGGCTGCCGTGCACCCGACGCCGGGCTTGTGGAACCCGGAGTGGACGTCGCATGGTCCGTTTTTTGAAAAAATACGTGACCGGCTGCACGAGTTCTCGCGCCTTGCCGGGGGCGGCGGACCGTATTCGGGCGGCGGCAATGGGATACACGGGGCCAGTTTCTTCACTGCCGCGACACCCCTCGGCCATCCGGTGGCGCCGATTCTATCCGGCTGGTTGGACAACCATATGTTCGTTGCCTCGGTGCTGATTGGCTTTACCGTGATGCAGCGCTATCCCGAACTGCGATTTGTGGTGGCGCATGGCAAAGCGTCCTGGATGGAGGAAGTGCTGGAGAAAATGGAGGCTTCGGCAAAGGTCATTCCCCTGTTGCACACCTATCCGGTGCACACGGAGCCAGAGGAGCTGTGGGCAGAGGGTCGGGTGATGTTGGGGTTTGATGCCGAGGAGCGGCTGATTCAGAAACTGCCCGAGGACTTTGCTGCAAAGGTCGTCTGGGGCTCGCATTATCCCCACCACGACACCACCAGTGCCTGGGATGCCATGGACAAACTTACCCAAGCCAATGTACCGGACTCCCTGATTACCCGTATGATGGGAGGGAATGCCGCCCAGCAATTTGGTATTGAGCTCATACAGACGGTGAGTGTTCAGGCTTAACGCCCCAAGGCAATGGCTAGAGCACTTTCGGATCAATCTGACTCGCTCGTTCGTCACCGTCCATCACTCCCCACTTGAGGGGGAGTCGGCGAAACAAGGGCGCAGCCCGCAGGCGAGCCGGTGGGGGGAACTCATCGCAGTGCAACCAATGCAATCAGATACGAAAATGCTCTAGTGCCCAGCATAAGCCGGGCCATTTGCCGGCCATCCGATTTCTTCCGATGGAACCCCCGCCAATGCTGCCGCAGAAAGGATGACATGTCATCGGTCCTTTCTGATCATGCGCAGTCCGGGTTTAGGGTGCGGCCTTGCCTGGCGACCTTCCCACAAGCCCACGCCTCGTCGTGCTTTCGGCCATTCAGAAATGCAAAAATGCCCACTCTTTCGTGATGCAGCACAACCCTGGCATGGCGCATCGCCGCGTCCATGGACCTCGGAATCAGCCGATGACCCGTTCCACCGGCACACCCCGGACGTCCATTTCAAAAGCCAATCCTTCGACCGGCGGTCGGGCGTAAGTCCATGTGACACCGTCCGGTGCCGCACCGCGGCGGACGACCTCGTCGGCAAGAAAACCGTGAATATCGTGGACCGTGTAGACTTGGCTCGTGGTGGCGTCTGCCCACGTCAAGCCGAGCGCCGCCATGCGAAACTCCATCGCACCGAGGACGAATTGCGCCTTTTCTCGCATCGCATCGGGCGCCGTGTCCCCGAGACGGATGATCCGGTCCGCATACCCGCCCGGTCCTTCGGGCGCTTCGCCGGAGCCCGAGATGACGAAGCTCTTCACCTCTGCCGCGTCGCTCGCCTCTGCCGGCATGGTGTACGAGAACGCGTGAAAGCAGGGTGCGGTCGGAGGATCGACCTCGGGACATACGTTTGACCGCGCAACGGGATTCTCGTCGTCCTTGAAGATGCCCCAGCGTTCGAGCGTGTGCACATAGACCCGATTGAAGGCAATGAAGCCTTCTTCCGTAAACTGGCCGGGCGAGCGCAGTTCGCACGCGCAAAACGCGGTGAGCGGTCGTCCGAGAGCGCCGAGATGCCTCTCGATCCGACGGAACCCCTCGTCAAGCGGTACGGGTCGTGCGAACCGGGCACGTTCCATGACGTATCCCCGCTCCGCCGAGACGCCCCCCGAGTACTGGAACCGCCCCCGCACGTAGCGATACCCGCCGGGCTCAAAAACTGCTGTTTCCGCCATATCACATCTCCGGTAGTTGGAGTTACAGACTTGCGACTCGACTCAAATCCAGCTCTGTACCTGTATTTCGTTGAACCTCCCGAAATCACTTGTTGGCGATAGGGGTCAAATCACAGACTATGTCGTTTCATGGCAAAAATATCCCCTCATCCCCACTTAGTCACGCTCTTTCAGAGATATTCAACCGTGCGTTCACCCGGTTGAAGACGTGGTACACCAAACCGCCATCATCCGCTTGTTTCCGCTACCCATCCCTATAGCCAACGGAATCTCCGCGCCCAGCAAGAAACGGTTTCTGGCACCTTTTCTTCTTGAACTCGAAGCCGTGGTCAAGGACCTTCACCCCGACGTCGCGGGCGAGGACAGCGTCGGCATCGGCACCGACTTCACCCAGGGCTACGGGCGGAAATTCTTCCACTGGATCACCCACGACAAGGGCTACGCCCGGCGGCTCACGGAGTTCGGCGAGATCGTCAACCCGGAAGGCATCCGGACCATCGGCGAGCTCCCGAACCTGACCGCCGCGATGGTTCGGCAGGGTTGGCCGGAGGCGCGAATCCGGAAAATCATGGGCGAAAACTGGCTGGCACTGCTCGCCCGGGTGTGGGGCGCGTAGGCCGCAAGGCCGCACCGGAAGTCTCCGGCAAGGAGCGGTCTCTCCGCTCTGGAAATATGTTCTGAGAAGGAATCTAATTCACAGGACAGTGTTATGCTGGTTATTTCAACGACGGATGGGGCGGAACCCTTCCAGTTCCAACTGTTCCCTGTGTGGATTTGATCACGCCCTCATTTGCAGAAAGGATTCCACGTCATGTGCAAGGTACGGCTCACGCGGAAGCAGTACGGCGTCCTGGGTTGCCTCCTCATAACACTCGTTGCACTGGCACTTGGTGGCGGGGTGACGCGACAGGCATCGGCACAGGGCGGGGGTACGCTGATGGGCCGGCTGGAGGGGCCGCGGGTCATCACGGACCGGGAGCAGTTTCCCAAACGGTTTCACGAGGCGCCGGCTCTGGCGGACCTGGTGCAGCAAGGCGAGCTGCCGCCGGTGCAGGAACGCATCGGTTCAGATCCCCTGGTGATCGAACCGGTGCGGGAGATCGGCAACTACGGCGGTATCTGGCGGCGCGGTTTCAGTGGACCCGCCGACTTCTGGAACGGTTACCGTTGTTGTGGGCACGACAAGATCCTGTTTTGGGACTATACCGGGAATATCGTGGTGCCGAATGTCGCCAAAGGGTGGGAGATCTCGGAGGGCGGACGTGTCTTCACCATCTTTCTGCGCCGTGGCATGAGGTGGTCTGACGGCCGTCCTTTCACGGCGGACGACTTCATGTTCTGGTACGAAGATATCTACGGAAACGACGAGCTGGTTCCGACGAAAACACCCATTCTGGCCATTGATGACAAACCGGGCAGGATGGAGAAGGTAGACGATAGCACCATCCGGTTTGTCTTCCCCCAGCCCTACTACGTCTTCCTCGATATGCTGGCAGGTGCGACGGCGCTTGGCGGCCACAGCTACCAGGGACGCAGCCTCATGGGCGGCTTTGCTCCCAAACATTATCTGCAGCAGTTTCACCCCAGGTACGTCGGGCAGGAAGCGGTTGACCAATTGGTCAAAGCCGCCGGGTACGATAACTGGGCCAGTTTCATGAGATTCATCAATGATTGGTCCCTCAACCCGGACTTACCGACCGTGACCGCCTGGCAGACCACCCGTCCGATCAACACCCCTACTTGGGTGCTCAAACGCAACCCCTATTTCTACATGGTGGACACCGCCGGTAACCAGCTTCCCTATATCGACAAGGTGGTCCTGTCGCTGGCAGAGAATCTCGAAGTCCTCAACCTGCGCGCCATGGCCGGCGAGTATGATTACCAGTCCCGGCATATCGACATCAGTAAGCTGCCGGTCTTTCTGGATAATCAGCAGCGCGGCGATTATACCGTCTCCCTCGATCCGGCAGACAGTGGCTGCGACGCCTGTCTCTTCTTCAACCAGACCTATGATGCAGACCCGGAAATCGCCACTTGGCTGCAAAACCGTGACTTTCGTATTGCCTTGTCTCATGGGATTGAACGCGAGCAGTTGAACGAGGCCTTCTGGCTGGGTCTCGGCACCTCCGGGTCACAAGTGCTGGCCGAATCGTCGCCGTATAATCCAGGGCCGGAGTACCGTACGATGCACTCGACGTACGATCCGCAGCGGGCCAATCAGATGCTGGATGCCTTGGGACTGACTCGCAAGGACAGCCAGGGCTACCGCCTGCGGACGGATGGCAAGGGCCGCTTGCGCCTTGAAATGACCACTGTCGGGGGCCAGTTTTTGCAGTTCACGCAAATTTCGGAAATGATTCGGGAGCAATGGGGCAAAATCGGCATTCAGGCAGACGTCAATGAAATCGAACGGAGTGCTGGCGATTACACGCGTGGGCGCCAATGAGCTTCAGATCCACCTGTGGCAGAACGACGGTACCGAACACCCCTTTACCTTCCCGGCGCATCTCTTTCCATTCACCCCCAGCGGCCTCGGCGGTTCCAACATCGGGCCCCTGTGGAGTCGCTGGTTCCGCACCAATGGGGTGCAAGGCCGAGAGCCTTCCGCCCCCATGAAAAAACTTATCGCGCTTTGGAAACAGGGATTTACAGTCCCTGATGCGCAGCGCGTCGAGATCGGCAAAGAAATTTGGCGTCTGGCTGTCGAGCAGCAATGGGCCCTCGGCACGGTCGGCCTCTCCCCGGCCGGCATGGGGGTGCGAATCGTCAGCAACCGCATGGGCAATTCTCCGGGTCGGCAATACAACAGCCCGGACGGCATGACGCCGGCGCCGTCGCGCCCCGAAACCTTTTTCTTCAAGTAGAGGCCCTTTCAATGGCTGGTTACATCCTCCGCCGTTTGTTGGTTGCAATGGGCACGGTATGGGTGATCTCCGTGATCTCCTTCACCATTATTCAGCTGCCTCCAGGGGATTACGTCACGTCCTATATTGCCCAATTGATGGCGACCGGAACGTTGGTGACGCAAGAGGAAGCTGAGAACCTGCGCATTCAGTACGGCCTGCACCAACCCATGTACGCCCAATACGCCAGATGGGTATGGCTCATGCTGCAGGGAAATTTTGGCGTGTCCATGGAATGGCAACGGCCGGTGCTGGAGGTGATCGGCGATCGTCTCCTGCTGACCGCTTTACTGGCCTTTGCGGCGGTCATTTTTACCTGGATCCTGGCCATCCCGATTGGCATCTACTCGGCGGTGCGGCAATACTCCATCGGGGATTACATTTTTACCTTCATTGGCTTCATTGGCCTTGCGGTGCCGAGCTTCCTGCTGGCCTTGGTGGTGATGTACCTGACGTTTGCTTATTTCGGTGCCAGTATCGGTGGCCTGTTCTCGACGGAATACCTCGACGCCCCATGGAGCCTGGCCCGTGTGTGGGATCTCTGCAAGCATTTGTGGGTTCCGGCGCTTATTCTTGGCACGGCCGGTACGGCCCAACTGGTGCGCATTCTGCGTGCCAATCTGCTGGACGAGTTGCGCAAACCCTATGTCGTGACGGCCCGCGCCAAAGGGCTTTCAGAGCTGAGAACGATCCTCAAGTACCCGGTACGGGTCGCCCTCAATCCGTTTATCAGCACGATTGGCTATACCCTGCCCTTTCTCGTCTCCGGCAGCATCATCGTCTCTATCGTGCTGAGTCTGCCGACTGTGGGGCCCCTGCTGCTCAAGGCCCTCATCGCCCAGGATATGTTTCTGGCTGGAACCATCGTCCTGTTGCTCGGGCTCATGACCGTCATCGGCACTTTGATCTCCGACATTCTCCTGGTCTGGATCGATCCGCGCATTCGTTTGGAGGAGTAACCGGTGGCCAAAAACGCCCTCGTACACAGCGTCGAAGAGCCCAGGGCGGCAGACGCGACAGACGCTGGTGAACGACTGTACGTGGCCTCGCAATGGCAGCTGATGTGGTGGCGATTTCGCAAACCGCTTGGCCATGGCGGCCGGGGCAGTCGTCGTGCTTTTCTATGTAATCGCCATTGGCGCCGATTTTGTGGCCACAACGGATCCCAATCTCTCCGATGCCCGGCGCTCGCTCATGCCGCCGCAACGTATCTACTGGTTCGAGGACTGGCGCTTCAGGCCGCATGTCTACGCGGTGACGGGCAAACGCGACCTCCGAACGTTCAAGCGTGTGTACACCACCGATCCGAGCAAAAAGATCCCGGTGCAGTTCTTCGCACGCGGTTTTTCATACACCTTCCTCGGTCTGTTCCCTACCGACCGTCATTTGCTGGGCGTCGGCGAGGGGTATGAAGCAGCCGAATCGCTGTTTTATTCTCGGCACGGACGTGCAGGGACGCGACCTGTGGTCACGCCTCCTGTTTGCGACGCGTATTTCCTTGTCCATTGGCCTCGTTGGCGTCGCGCTCAGCCTGTTTCTGGGGATCTTGCTTGGCGGTCTCTCTGGCTTTTACGGGGGCTTTGTGGACGGTCTCATCCAGCGCTTCATCGAGATCCTGCGCTCCATCCCGACCATCCCGCTGTGGATGGGTCTGGCTGCGGCGTTGCCACGCGACTGGTCCATCTTGCAGATTTACTTTGCCATTACCATCATCATCTCGCTGCTGGGCTGGACTGAACTGGCCCGCGTCGTGCGTGGACGTTTTCTGGCGCTGCGCGAGGAGGATTTTATTGTTTCTGCCCGCCTGGTTGGGTGCAGCCAGATGCGCATTATTTTCGTACACATGGTCCCGTCATTCCTGAGCCATATCATTGCCGCCACCACGCTCGCCCTACCGGCCATGATTATCAGTGAGACCTCCTTAAGCTTTCTCGGATTGGGCTTGCGTCCCCCTGCCGTGAGTTGGGGTGTGTTGTTGCAGCAGGCCCAAAACGTCCAGACGGTGGCGCTCTCCCCCTGGCTGATGCTGCCTGCCGTTCCGGTTATCATCGTGGTCCTGGCGTTCAACTTCCTCGGCGATGGGTTACGTGACGCCGCAGACCCGTACGGACAGTGAAGGATGGGATAGTTTCATGACGGATGATGCCAACACCCCTCTTGCCCTTCGTTCCTTCTGGCCCTCCCCTTCTCTCCGTCCACAATCTACACACGTACTTCCCTCAGGAAGAAGGGACGGTCAAGGCCGTCGATGGCGTCAGCTTCGATCTCTACCCCGGCCGCACGCTCGGTATTGTGGGGGAAAGCGGCTGTGGAAAGAGCATGACGGCCAGGTCGATCTTGCGAATTGTTGACCGCCCCGGGCGTATTGTCGCCGGGGAGATCCGGTTTCGCCGCCGCAAAGTGTCGGCCACGTCGCCAGACGGCATGACCGACCTGACGCAACTCGATGCCAACAGCGATGACATGCGGGCGGTCCGCGGCGCCGAAATCGCCCTCGTCTTTCCAAGAGCCGATGTCATCGTTCAGTCCCGTCCATACGATAGGCAATCAGATTGTCGAAGCCATCCTGTTGCACCAAAAGGTAAGCAAACGGCAGGCACGGGCACGCGCCATCGAGGTGTTCCGTGACGTTGGCATTCCCCTCCCAGAGCAGCGTCTCGACGCCTACGCGCATCAATTGAGCGGCGGCTTGCGTCAGCGCGCCATGATCGCCATGGCCCTGGTGTGCAACCCCAGCCTGCTGATCGCCGACGAGCCAACCACGGCGCTGGACGTCACAACCCAGGCGCAGATTCTGGATCTCTTGCGCCACCTGCAACAAGAATACGGTATGGCCATCATGCTCATTACCCATGACCTCGGGGTCATCGCTGAAATGGCGGATGACGTCGTGGTGATGTATCTCGGGCGCGTTGTCGAACACGCACCGGTGGACGAACTCTTCCACGCCCCCAAACATCCTTACACGCAAGCCCTGCTACGCTCGATTCCCCATATCCGCTCCCGCCCGCGTGAGCGCCTGGCATCTGTCGCCGGGTCCGTGCCGCATCCGTACAACCGCCCGACCGGGTGTCCGTTTCACCCACGCTGCGAGTCGTTCATGCCGGGTGTTTGTGACCAGCAGGCGCCAAGCCTGTTGCCAATCGGCGAGCAACATGACGTGAGTTGTGTGCTTTACCACGAGGAGCGCTCATAGTGCGTGTGCAGAACGTTGAGGAGGCGGATGTGAGTGCGGAGAACGGCGGGGCCTTGTTGGACGTCAGAGACCTGCAGAAGCTCTTCCCGATTCGTAAGGGCTTTTGGAAGCGGACCGTGGGGCATGTGCGGGCCGTTGATGGGGTGAGTTTCACCCTCAATGAAGGGGAAACGCTCGGGCTCGTGGGGGAGAGCGGTTGTGGCAAGACCACTACCGCACGCTGTATTTTGCAAGCGCTGAAGCCAACCCAGGGACAAATCTTGTTCCGCACGGAGGCGGGCGCGGTCGTCGACGTGGCCACCTTGGACAAAACCGAGCTGCGGGCGCTCCGACGAGAAATGCAGATGGTCTTCCAAGACCCCTTTACGTCTCTCAACCCGCGCATGACCCTGCTCGACATTGTGGGCGAGCCTTTACGGGTACATGGGATGAAGAAACGCCGTGAACGCGAAGCGCGGGTGGCCGAACTCCTGCGTTTGGTTGGGCTGCGGGCGGAATACATGCGGCGCTTCCCGCACGCCTTCAGTGGTGGCGAACGGCAACGCATCGGCATTGCCCGGGCTTTTGCGCTGCATCCACGCCTGGTGATCGCCGACGAGCCGGTATCGGCGTTGGACGTCTCTGTGCAAGCGCAAATTCTCAACTTGCTGCTTGACCTGCAAACGGAGCTGCGCCTGACCTACCTTTTTGTGGCGCATGACCTGAGTGTGGTGAAGCATATTAGCGACCGGGTGGCCGTCATGTATGTTGGGCAGCTGGTCGAGTTAGCACCCACTGAGCAGCTTTTTATGGCTCCCAAACACCCTTACACGGATGCCCTGCTTTCCGCCGTGCCTGAACCCGACCCGCGCCAGCGTACACGACGTATTGTCCTGCAAGGCGAGGTGGCCAACCCCGCCGATCCGCCCTCCGGGTGTTACTTTCACCCCCGTTGTCCACATGCAATTGAGGTTTGCCGTACGCAGGCGCCGACGTGGGAAGAGGTCGCACCGCAGCATTTTGCGCGTTGTCACCGCGCCCACGAGTTGCAGCTCATAGGTGTGGAAGAAGTCGCCAGGACCACCTAAGCTGTCTATCAACCGCTGGCGCCAGGAATTTGGCGGCCTGAAGATCAGTCAGGTCAAACGCCTCAAGGAACTCGAAACCGAAAACGCCCGCCTGCGGCGCGCCGTATCGGACCTGCCCCTGGACAAGGTCATCTTGCAGGAGGCCGCCCGGGGAAACTTCTGAGCCCCGCACGCCGCCGTCTTTGTGTCGAGCATATCCGAGAGCAACTGGGCATCTCGGAGCGCCGTGTCTGCCGAGCACTCGGGCAGCACCGCTCGACGCAGCGCAAGCCGCCGCAGGGGCGCGGGGACGAGGCCCGCCTGACCGAAGACATCATCCCAATATCTCACGAAGTGTCATTCGATCGTTGAAGGGGAGAAAATACAATCCGGTATCCGGGTCTGGCTCATCGAGAAGCAGTTTTACAACTCAGCTTGCTATCTGGCTTCCATTTGGTATGTAATCAATACTCCGATGTGTACACTGCTATCCAGGATGGGAATCGAAGGGGCGAGCTGGAACTCGAATCACGGTCATGTCGCACGTGGGTGTCGCATGGCCCTCGTATAGAGGAATCATCAGATGCCAGTTCAGACGTTTGAACCGATGACTAAAGATTTTGCGACATTTGACTGCGATGCCCACGTGACGGAACCCGCCCGCATTTGGGAACGGGCACCCGAACATTTGACTCGGGACGAGCTGGAGGCCCTCAAAGCGACGATCTGGTGGGACGCAGAGACGCAGCAACTCATCGTCAATGGAAGAGCGGGCGCGGGCATTGGCTCCCAGAGTCGCGGCGGCATTCCCGGCACCATGCGGGTGATTACGAACGCCGGACCCGGGGTTAAACACGACATTCAGCGCGCCCTCAATGTGCGCAATCTCAACCCCGAGACGGCGCTCACCCAGGAGCAAGTTGCGTACTTGGATCATCCCGGCTCCTACGAGCCCGAGCCGCGCCTGCGCGATATGGACGTACAGGGCATTGACCAAGTAATGATCATTCCCACCGATATCGATACCTACCCGTGGTTGCAAAACGCTGTGGGCGCCAAGGCGTTTTGCAAGGCCTACAACGAGTGGGCCTACGAGTACACCCTGGCTGATCCGCAACGGCTCTTTTTTGCCGCCATGCTCCCCATGCAGAATCCCAGATATGCGGCAGATGAAGTCTACCGCGTGGCTGAACAAGGATGCCGCGTGGCGCTGGTGCGCCCCATCGACGCCATGGGCAATTACCCCTTGCAACCCAAATACGAGCCTGTCTGGCAGGCGATGGCCGACACCGGCGTGGTCTACGGCATGCACCCATTCCCTGCTGGTGGCAACCTCAAGCCGTCGGGTTATGCCGAACAGCATTCCAGCGCCGAGCTGATTCGGAGAACCGTATCGACGTCAGGTCTGCCGCACTCGTTGCTGTCCAACGTGCAGAATTTTCAGGCCGAGGCTTCTCTCTGGGTAACCCTGGTGCTGATGTCCGGTTTTTTCGAGCGCTATCCCACGATCAAAGCCGCCGTGTTTGAAGCCTCCTCCACGTGGCTGAGCTTCCTGCTCGACGAGTGTGACAAGGCCTATAAGCTCTATCGCAACGAGCGCCAACTGCCGCCCCTCAAACGCTTACCCAGCGAGACCTTTTTTCAGCACTGCATCACCGGCTTTGAGGGCGATGAAGCGCCCCCGTCACGCTTTCCCGAATTCTACCGGGACATCCTGGCCTGGTCCTCAGATGTCTACCACCACGACGGCGATGACGCTTGGCGGGCCATTGAGATGATGCAGCAGTGCAACCTGTCGGTCGATGACCAGGCTCGGTTCCTGGGGGCAAACGCTCGCCGCCTGTACATGATTGAACCGCCCAAGAACATCATCCGCGAGCGGGTTTGCCAAATTCAACGGCCCGATTGGTGGCCGACTGAGGCGGAGGTCGAAGCCTCCCTTGCACCCGAAGCCTCTGTGACCCATCGTTAGATCGGAGAGACATGATGACCCGACAAAAGAACTTTGCGGTCTTCGACGGCGATGCCCATGTGGTGGAGCCGCGGACGGTATGGGAGCAGTACCTCGATCCCGAGTACCGGGTGTTGGGCAAATACGCCTTATGGCGGGAGGATGGCAAGACCAATGCCTACCTCAAAATCAACGGTGAGATACATCGGGATACGACAAACATCAACCTGCCTCGGCACGCTCTGTGGCGGCCCGGCATGACCTGGGATTCGGTCGGCGAGTTGGACCCCGATGTCCGCCACGCCATGAACGAGGGCGCCTGGGAGCCTCAGGCTCGGCTGCGAGACATGGATGCCATGGGCGTGGACCAGACCCTGCTCTACCCCACGTGGTTTGCCGAAGGGTTTCACCTGGTGCATGACCCCGATGTTGCCTATGCGCTGGCCCGCGCCTATAACCATTGGATTGCCGATTTCTGCCAGGCGGCCCCGGAGCGCCTTTTTGCCGTGGCCATGGTGCCGTTGCAGAACATGGATTTCGCCCTTGAGGAACTTCAGCGGGTCGCTGACATGCCCTGTTTCCGCGCGGCGTTTATCCGGCCGATGTTTATCGAGGAGCGCTACTTCACCCATCCCTACTACGACACGCTGTGGGCGGAACTGGAGCGCCTGGGACTGACGGCTGCCGTGCACCCGACGCCGGGCTTGTGGAACCCGGAGTGGACGTCGCATGGTCCGTTTTTTGAAAAAATACGTGACCGGCTGCACGAGTTCTCGCGCCTTGCCGGGGGCGGCGGACCGTATTCGGGCGGCGGCAATGGGATACACGGGGCCAGTTTCTTCACTGCCGCGACACCCCTCGGCCATCCGGTGGCGCCGATTCTATCCGGCTGGTTGGACAACCATATGTTCGTTGCCTCGGTGCTGATTGGCTTTACCGTGATGCAGCGCTATCCCGAACTGCGATTTGTGGTGGCGCATGGCAAAGCGTCCTGGATGGAGGAAGTGCTGGAGAAAATGGAGGCTTCGGCAAAGGTCATTCCCCTGTTGCACACCTATCCGGTGCACACGGAGCCAGAGGAGCTGTGGGCAGAGGGTCGGGTGATGTTGGGGTTTGATGCCGAGGAGCGGCTGATTCAGAAACTGCCCGAGGACTTTGCTGCAAAGGTCGTCTGGGGCTCGCATTATCCCCACCACGACACCACCAGTGCCTGGGATGCCATGGACAAACTTACCCAAGCCAATGTACCGGACTCCCTGATTACCCGTATGATGGGAGGGAATGCCGCCCAGCAATTTGGTATTGAGCTCATACAGACGGTGAGTGTTCAGGCTTAACGCCCCAAGGCAATGGCTAGAGCACTTTCGGATCAATCTGACTCGCTCGTTCGTCACCGTCCATCACTCCCCACTTGAGGGGGAGTCGGCGAAACAAGGGCGCAGCCCGCAGGCGAGCCGGTGGGGGGAACTCATCGCAGTGCAACCAATGCAATCAGATACGAAAATGCTCTAGTGCCCGGCATAAGCCGGGCCATTTGCCGGCCATCCGATTTCTTCCGATGGAACCCCCGCCAATGCTGCCGCAGAAAGGATGACATGTCATCGGTCCTTTCTGATCATGCGCAGTCCGGGTTTAGGGTGCGGCCTTGCCTGGCGACCTTCCCACAAGCCCACGCCTCGTCGTGCTTTCGGCCATTCAGAAATGCAAAAATGCCCACTCTTTCGTGATGCAGCACAACCCTGGCATGGCGCATCGCCGCGTCCATGGACCTCGGAATCAGCCGATGACCCGTTCCACCGGCACACCCCGGACGTCCATTTCAAAAGCCAATCCTTCGACCGGCGGTCGGGCGTAAGTCCATGTGACACCGTCCGGTGCCGCACCGCGGCGGACGACCTCGTCGGCAAGAAAACCGTGAATATCGTGGACCGTGTAGACTTGGCTCGTGGTGGCGTCTGCCCACGTCAAGCCGAGCGCCGCCATGCGAAACTCCATCGCACCGAGGACGAATTGCGCCTTTTCTCGCATCGCATCGGGCGCCGTGTCCCCGAGACGGATGATCCGGTCCGCATACCCGCCCGGTCCTTCGGGCGCTTCGCCGGAGCCCGAGATGACGAAGCTCTTCACCTCTGCCGCGTCGCTCGCCTCTGCCGGCATGGTGTACGAGAACGCGTGAAAGCAGGGTGCGGTCGGAGGATCGACCTCGGGACATACGTTTGACCGCGCAACGGGATTCTCGTCGTCCTTGAAGATGCCCCAGCGTTCGAGCGTGTGCACATAGACCCGATTGAAGGCAATGAAGCCTTCTTCCGTAAACTGGCCGGGCGAGCGCAGTTCGCACGCGCAAAACGCGGTGAGCGGTCGTCCGAGAGCGCCGAGATGCCTCTCGATCCGACGGAACCCCTCGTCAAGCGGTACGGGTCGTGCGAACCGGGCACGTTCCATGACGTATCCCCGCTCCGCCGAGACGCCCCCCGAGTACTGGAACCGCCCCCGCACGTAGCGATACCCGCCGGGCTCAAAAACTGCTGTTTCCGCCATATCACATCTCCGGTAGTTGGAGTTACAGACTTGCGACTCGACTCAAATCCAGCTCTGTACCTGTATTTCGTTGAACCTCCCGAAATCACTTGTTGGCGATAGGGGTCAAATCACAGACTATGTCGTTTCATGGCAAAAATATCCCCTCATCCCCACTTAGTCACGCTCTTTCAGAGATATTCAACCGTGCGTTCACCCGGTTGAAGACGTGGTACACCAAACCGCCATCATCCGCTTGTTTCCGCTACCCATCCCTATAGCCAACGGAATCTCCGCGCCCAGCAAGAAACGGTTTCTGGCACCTTTTCTTCTTGAACTCGAAGCCGTGGTCAAGGACCTTCACCCCGACGTCGCGGGCGAGGACAGCGTCGGCATCGGCACCGACTTCACCCAGGGCTACGGGCGGAAATTCTTCCACTGGATCACCCACGACAAGGGCTACGCCCGGCGGCTCACGGAGTTCGGCGAGATCGTCAACCCGGAAGGCATCCGGACCATCGGCGAGCTCCCGAACCTGACCGCCGCGATGGTTCGGCAGGGTTGGCCGGAGGCGCGAATCCGGAAAATCATGGGCGAAAACTGGCTGGCACTGCTCGCCCGGGTGTGGGGCGCGTAGGCCGCAAGGCCGCACCGGAAGTCTCCGGCAAGGAGCGGTCTCTCCGCTCTGGAAATATGTTCTGAGAAGGAATCTAATTCACAGGACAGTGTTATGCTGGTTATTTCAACGACGGATGGGGCGGAACCCTTCCAGTTCCAACTGTTCCCTGTGTGGATTTGATCACGCCCTCATTTGCAGAAAGGATTCCACGTCATGTGCAAGGTACGGCTCACGCGGAAGCAGTACGGCGTCCTGGGTTGCCTCCTCATAACACTCGTTGCACTGGCACTTGGTGGCGGGGTGACGCGACAGGCATCGGCACAGGGCGGGGGTACGCTGATGGGCCGGCTGGAGGGGCCGCGGGTCATCACGGACCGGGAGCAGTTTCCCAAACGGTTTCACGAGGCGCCGGCTCTGGCGGACCTGGTGCAGCAAGGCGAGCTGCCGCCGGTGCAGGAACGCATCGGTTCAGATCCCCTGGTGATCGAACCGGTGCGGGAGATCGGCAACTACGGCGGTATCTGGCGGCGCGGTTTCAGTGGACCCGCCGACTTCTGGAACGGTTACCGTTGTTGTGGGCACGACAAGATCCTGTTTTGGGACTATACCGGGAATATCGTGGTGCCGAATGTCGCCAAAGGGTGGGAGATCTCGGAGGGCGGACGTGTCTTCACCATCTTTCTGCGCCGTGGCATGAGGTGGTCTGACGGCCGTCCTTTCACGGCGGACGACTTCATGTTCTGGTACGAAGATATCTACGGAAACGACGAGCTGGTTCCGACGAAAACACCCATTCTGGCCATTGATGACAAACCGGGCAGGATGGAGAAGGTAGACGATAGCACCATCCGGTTTGTCTTCCCCCAGCCCTACTACGTCTTCCTCGATATGCTGGCAGGTGCGACGGCGCTTGGCGGCCACAGCTACCAGGGACGCAGCCTCATGGGCGGCTTTGCTCCCAAACATTATCTGCAGCAGTTTCACCCCAGGTACGTCGGGCAGGAAGCGGTTGACCAATTGGTCAAAGCCGCCGGGTACGATAACTGGGCCAGTTTCATGAGATTCATCAATGATTGGTCCCTCAACCCGGACTTACCGACCGTGACCGCCTGGCAGACCACCCGTCCGATCAACACCCCTACTTGGGTGCTCAAACGCAACCCCTATTTCTACATGGTGGACACCGCCGGTAACCAGCTTCCCTATATCGACAAGGTGGTCCTGTCGCTGGCAGAGAATCTCGAAGTCCTCAACCTGCGCGCCATGGCCGGCGAGTATGATTACCAGTCCCGGCATATCGACATCAGTAAGCTGCCGGTCTTTCTGGATAATCAGCAGCGCGGCGATTATACCGTCTCCCTCGATCCGGCAGACAGTGGCTGCGACGCCTGTCTCTTCTTCAACCAGACCTATGATGCAGACCCGGAAATCGCCACTTGGCTGCAAAACCGTGACTTTCGTATTGCCTTGTCTCATGGGATTGAACGCGAGCAGTTGAACGAGGCCTTCTGGCTGGGTCTCGGCACCTCCGGGTCACAAGTGCTGGCCGAATCGTCGCCGTATAATCCAGGGCCGGAGTACCGTACGATGCACTCGACGTACGATCCGCAGCGGGCCAATCAGATGCTGGATGCCTTGGGACTGACTCGCAAGGACAGCCAGGGCTACCGCCTGCGGACGGATGGCAAGGGCCGCTTGCGCCTTGAAATGACCACTGTCGGGGGCCAGTTTTTGCAGTTCACGCAAATTTCGGAAATGATTCGGGAGCAATGGGGCAAAATCGGCATTCAGGCAGACGTCAATGAAATCGAACGGAGTCTGGCGATTACACGCGTGGGCGCCAATGAGCTTCAGATCCACCTGTGGCAGAACGACGGTACCGAACACCCCTTTACCTTCCCGGCGCATCTCTTTCCATTCACCCCCAGCGGCCTCGGCGGTTCCAACATCGGGCCCCTGTGGAGTCGCTGGTTCCGCACCAATGGGGTGCAAGGCCGAGAGCCTTCCGCCCCCATGAAAAAACTTATCGCGCTTTGGAAACAGGGATTTACAGTCCCTGATGCGCAGCGCGTCGAGATCGGCAAAGAAATTTGGCGTCTGGCTGTCGAGCAGCAATGGGCCCTCGGCACGGTCGGCCTCTCCCCGGCCGGCATGGGGGTGCGAATCGTCAGCAACCGCATGGGCAATTCTCCGGGTCGGCAATACAACAGCCCGGACGGCATGACGCCGGCGCCGTCGCGCCCCGAAACCTTTTTCTTCAAGTAGAGGCCCTTTCAATGGCTGGTTACATCCTCCGCCGTTTGTTGGTTGCAATGGGCACGGTATGGGTGATCTCCGTGATCTCCTTCACCATTATTCAGCTGCCTCCAGGGGATTACGTCACGTCCTATATTGCCCAATTGATGGCGACCGGAACGTTGGTGACGCAAGAGGAAGCTGAGAACCTGCGCATTCAGTACGGCCTGCACCAACCCATGTACGCCCAATACGCCAGATGGGTATGGCTCATGCTGCAGGGAAATTTTGGCGTGTCCATGGAATGGCAACGGCCGGTGCTGGAGGTGATCGGCGATCGTCTCCTGCTGACCGCTTTACTGGCCTTTGCGGCGGTCATTTTTACCTGGATCCTGGCCATCCCGATTGGCATCTACTCGGCGGTGCGGCAATACTCCATCGGGGATTACATTTTTACCTTCATTGGCTTCATTGGCCTTGCGGTGCCGAGCTTCCTGCTGGCCTTGGTGGTGATGTACCTGACGTTTGCTTATTTCGGTGCCAGTATCGGTGGCCTGTTCTCGACGGAATACCTCGACGCCCCATGGAGCCTGGCCCGTGTGTGGGATCTCTGCAAGCATTTGTGGGTTCCGGCGCTTATTCTTGGCACGGCCGGTACGGCCCAACTGGTGCGCATTCTGCGTGCCAATCTGCTGGACGAGTTGCGCAAACCCTATGTCGTGACGGCCCGCGCCAAAGGGCTTTCAGAGCTGAGAACGATCCTCAAGTACCCGGTACGGGTCGCCCTCAATCCGTTTATCAGCACGATTGGCTATACCCTGCCCTTTCTCGTCTCCGGCAGCATCATCGTCTCTATCGTGCTGAGTCTGCCGACTGTGGGGCCCCTGCTGCTCAAGGCCCTCATCGCCCAGGATATGTTCCTGGCTGGAACCATCGTCCTGTTGCTCGGGCTCATGACCGTCATCGGCACTTTGATCTCCGACATTCTCCTGGTCTGGATCGATCCGCGCATTCGTTTGGAGGAGTAACCGGTGGCCAAAAACGCCCTCGTACACAGCGTCGAAGAGCCCAGGGCGGCAGACGCGACAGACGCTGGTGAACGACTGTACGTGGCCTCGCAATGGCAGCTGATGTGGTGGCGATTTCGCAAACACCGCTTGGCCATGGCGGCCGGGGCAGTCGTCGTGCTTTTCTATGTAATCGCCATTGGCGCCGATTTTGTGGCCACAACGGATCCCAATCTCTCCGATGCCCGGCGCTCGCTCATGCCGCCGCAACGTATCTACTGGTTCGAGGACTGGCGCTTCAGGCCGCATGTCTACGCGGTGACGGGCAAACGCGACCTCCGAACGTTCAAGCGTGTGTACACCACCGATCCGAGCAAAAAGATCCCGGTGCAGTTCTTCGCACGCGGTTTTTCATACACCTTCCTCGGTCTGTTCCCTACCGACCGTCATTTGCTGGGCGTCGGCGAGGGGTATGAAGCAGCCGAATCGCTGTTTATTCTCGGCACGGACGTGCAGGGACGCGACCTGTGGTCACGCCTCCTGTTTGCGACGCGTATTTCCTTGTCCATTGGCCTCGTTGGCGTCGCGCTCAGCCTGTTTCTGGGGATCTTGCTTGGCGGTCTCTCTGGCTTTTACGGGGGCTTTGTGGACGGTCTCATCCAGCGCTTCATCGAGATCCTGCGCTCCATCCCGACCATCCCGCTGTGGATGGGTCTGGCTGCGGCGTTGCCACGCGACTGGTCCATCTTGCAGATTTACTTTGCCATTACCATCATCATCTCGCTGCTGGGCTGGACTGAACTGGCCCGCGTCGTGCGTGGACGTTTTCTGGCGCTGCGCGAGGAGGATTTTATTGTTTCTGCCCGCCTGGTTGGGTGCAGCCAGATGCGCATTATTTTCGTACACATGGTCCCGTCATTCCTGAGCCATATCATTGCCGCCACCACGCTCGCCCTACCGGCCATGATTATCAGTGAGACCTCCTTAAGCTTTCTCGGATTGGGCTTGCGTCCCCCTGCCGTGAGTTGGGGTGTGTTGTTGCAGCAGGCCCAAAACGTCCAGACGGTGGCGCTCTCCCCCTGGCTGATGCTGCCTGCCGTTCCGGTTATCATCGTGGTCCTGGCGTTCAACTTCCTCGGCGATGGGTTACGTGACGCCGCAGACCCGTACGGACAGTGAAGGATGGGATAGTTTCATGACGGATGATGCCAACACCCCTCTTGCCCTTCGTTCCTCTGGCCCTCCCCTTCTCTCCGTCCACAATCTACACACGTACTTCCCTCAGGAAGAAGGGACGGTCAAGGCCGTCGATGGCGTCAGCTTCGATCTCTACCCCGGCCGCACGCTCGGTATTGTGGGGGAAAGCGGCTGTGGAAAGAGCATGACGGCCAGGTCGATCTTGCGAATTGTTGACCGCCCCGGGCGTATTGTCGCCGGGGAGATCCGGTTTCGCCGCCGCAAAGTGTCGGCCACGTCGCCAGACGGCATGACCGACCTGACGCAACTCGATGCCAACAGCGATGACATGCGGGCGGTCCGCGGCGCCGAAATCGCCCTCGTCTTCCAAGAGCCGATGTCATCGTTCAGTCCCGTCCATACGATAGGCAATCAGATTGTCGAAGCCATCCTGTTGCACCAAAAGGTAAGCAAACGGCAGGCACGGGCACGCGCCATCGAGGTGTTCCGTGACGTTGGCATTCCCCTCCCAGAGCAGCGTCTCGACGCCTACGCGCATCAATTGAGCGGCGGCTTGCGTCAGCGCGCCATGATCGCCATGGCCCTGGTGTGCAACCCCAGCCTGCTGATCGCCGACGAGCCAACCACGGCGCTGGACGTCACAACCCAGGCGCAGATTCTGGATCTCTTGCGCCACCTGCAACAAGAATACGGTATGGCCATCATGCTCATTACCCATGACCTCGGGGTCATCGCTGAAATGGCGGATGACGTCGTGGTGATGTATCTCGGGCGCGTTGTCGAACACGCACCGGTGGACGAACTCTTCCACGCCCCCAAACATCCTTACACGCAAGCCCTGCTACGCTCGATTCCCCATATCCGCTCCCGCCCGCGTGAGCGCCTGGCATCTGTCGCCGGGTCCGTGCCGCATCCGTACAACCGCCCGACCGGGTGTCCGTTTCACCCACGCTGCGAGTCGTTCATGCCGGGTGTTTGTGACCAGCAGGCGCCAAGCCTGTTGCCAATCGGCGAGCAACATGACGTGAGCTGTGTGCTTTACCACGAGGAGCGCTCATAGTGCGTGTGCAGAACGTTGAGGAGGCGGATGTGAGTGCGGAGAACGGCGGGGCCTTGTTGGACGTCAGAGACCTGCAGAAGCTCTTCCCGATTCGTAAGGGCTTTTGGAAGCGGACCGTGGGGCACGTGCGGGCCGTTGATGGGGTGAGTTTCACCCTCAATGAGGGGGAACGCTCGGGCTCGTGGGGGAGAGCGGTTGTGGCAAGACCACTACCGCACGCTGTATTTTGCAAGCGCTGAAGCCAACCCAGGGACAAATCTTGTTCCGCACGGAGGCGGGCGCGGTCGTCGACGTGGCCACCTTGGACAAAACCGAGCTGCGGGCGCTCCGACGGGAAATGCAGATGGTCTTCCAAGACCCCTTTACGTCTCTCAACCCGCGCATGACCCTGCTCGACATTGTGGGCGAGCCTTTACGGGTACATGGGATGAAGAAACGCCGTGAACGCGAAGCGCGGGTGGCCGAACTCCTGCGTTTGGTTGGGCTGCGGGCGGAATACATGCGGCGCTTCCCGCACGCCTTCAGTGGTGGCGAACGGCAACGCATCGGCATTGCCCGGGCTTTTGCGCTGCATCCACGCCTGGTGATCGCCGACGAGCCGGTATCGGCGTTGGACGTCTCTGTGCAAGCGCAAATTCTCAACTTGCTGCTTGACCTGCAAACGGAGCTGCGCCTGACCTACCTTTTTGTGGCGCATGACCTGAGTGTGGTGAAGCATATTAGCGACCGGGTGGCCGTCATGTATGTTGGGCAGCTGGTCGAGTTAGCACCCACTGAGCAGCTTTTTATGGCTCCCAAACACCCTTACACGGATGCCCTGCTTTCCGCCGTGCCTGAACCCGACCCGCGCCAGCGTACACGACGTATTGTCCTGCAAGGCGAGGTGGCCAACCCCGCCGATCCGCCCTCCGGGTGTTACTTTCACCCCCGTTGTCCACATGCAATTGAGGTTTGCCGTACGCAGGCGCCGACGTGGGAAGAGGTCGCACCGCAGCATTTTGCGCGTTGTCACCGCGCCCACGAGTTGCAGCTCATAGGTGTGGAAGAAGTCGCCAGGACCACCTAAGCTGTCTATCAACCGCTGGCGCCAGGAATTTGGCGGCCTGAAGATCAGTCAGGTCAAACGCCTCAAGGAACTCGAAACCGAAAACGCCCGCCTGCGGCGCGCCGTATCGGACCTGCCCCTGGACAAGGTCATCTTGCAGGAGGCCGCCCGGGGAAACTTCTGAGCCCCGCACGCCGCCGTCTTTGTGTCGAGCATATCCGAGAGCAACTGGGCATCTCGGAGCGCCGTGTCTGCCGAGCACTCGGGCAGCACCGCTCGACGCAGCGCAAGCCGCCGCAGGGGCGCGGGGACGAGGCCCGCCTGACCGAAGACATCATCCCAATATCTCACGAAGTGTCATTCGATCGTTGAAGGGGAGAAAATACAATCCGGTATCCGGGTCTGGCTCATCGAGAAGCAGTTTTACAACTCAGCTTGCTATCTGGCTTCCATTTGGTATGTAATCAATACTCCGATGTGTACACTGCTATCCAGGATGGGAATCGAAGGGGCGAGCTGGAACTCGAATCACGGTCATGTCGCACGTGGGTGTCGCATGGCCCTCGTATAGAGGAATCATCAGATGCCAGTTCAGACGTTTGAACCGATGACTAAAGATTTTGCGACATTTGACTGCGATGCCCACGTGACGGAACCCGCCCGCATTTGGGAACGGGCACCCGAACATTTGACTCGGGACGAGCTGGAGGCCCTCAAAGCGACGATCTGGTGGGACGCAGAGACGCAGCAACTCATCGTCAATGGAAGAGCGGGCGCGGGCATTGGCTCCCAGAGTCGCGGCGGCATTCCCGGCACCATGCGGGTGATTACGAACGCCGGACCCGGGGTTAAACACGACATTCAGCGCGCCCTCAATGTGCGCAATCTCAACCCCGAGACGGCGCTCACCCAGGAGCAAGTTGCGTACTTGGATCATCCCGGCTCCTACGAGCCCGAGCCGCGCCTGCGCGATATGGACGTACAGGGCATTGACCAAGTAATGATCATTCCCACCGATATCGATACCTACCCGTGGTTGCAAAACGCTGTGGGCGCCAAGGCGTTTTGCAAGGCCTACAACGAGTGGGCCTACGAGTACACCCTGGCTGATCCGCAACGGCTCTTTTTTGCCGCCATGCTCCCCATGCAGAATCCCAGATATGCGGCAGATGAAGTCTACCGCGTGGCTGAACAAGGATGCCGCGTGGCGCTGGTGCGCCCCATCGACGCCATGGGCAATTACCCCTTGCAACCCAAATACGAGCCTGTCTGGCAGGCGATGGCCGACACCGGCGTGGTCTACGGCATGCACCCATTCCCTGCTGGTGGCAACCTCAAGCCGTCGGGTTATGCCGAACAGCATTCCAGCGCCGAGCTGATTCGGAGAACCGTATCGACGTCAGGTCTGCCGCACTCGTTGCTGTCCAACGTGCAGAATTTTCAGGCCGAGGCTTCTCTCTGGGTAACCCTGGTGCTGATGTCCGGTTTTTTCGAGCGCTATCCCACGATCAAAGCCGCCGTGTTTGAAGCCTCCTCCACGTGGCTGAGCTTCCTGCTCGACGAGTGTGACAAGGCCTATAAGCTCTATCGCAACGAGCGCCAACTGCCGCCCCTCAAACGCTTACCCAGCGAGACCTTTTTTCAGCACTGCATCACCGGCTTTGAGGGCGATGAAGCGCCCCCGTCACGCTTTCCCGAATTCTACCGGGACATCCTGGCCTGGTCCTCAGATGTCTACCACCACGACGGCGATGACGCTTGGCGGGCCATTGAGATGATGCAGCAGTGCAACCTGTCGGTCGATGACCAGGCTCGGTTCCTGGGGGCAAACGCTCGCCGCCTGTACATGATTGAACCGCCCAAGAACATCATCCGCGAGCGGGTTTGCCAAATTCAACGGCCCGATTGGTGGCCGACTGAGGCGGAGGTCGAAGCCTCCCTTGCACCCGAAGCCTCTGTGACCCATCGTTAGATCGGAGAGACATGATGACCCGACAAAAGAACTTTGCGGTCTTCGACGGCGATGCCCATGTGGTGGAGCCGCGGACGGTATGGGAGCAGTACCTCGATCCCGAGTACCGGGTGTTGGGCAAACACGCCTTATGGCGGGAGGATGGCAAGACCAATGCCTACCTCAAAATCAACGGTGAGATACATCGGGATACGACAAACATCAACCTGCCTCGGCACGCTCTGTGGCGGCCCGGCATGACCTGGGATTCGGTCGGCGAGTTGGACCCCGATGTCCGCCACGCCATGAACGAGGGCGCCTGGGAGCCTCAGGCTCGGCTGCGAGACATGGATGCCATGGGCGTGGACCAGACCCTGCTCTACCCCACGTGGTTTGCCGAAGGGTTTCACCTGGTGCATGACCCCGATGTTGCCTATGCGCTGGCCCGCGCCTATAACCATTGGATTGCCGATTTCTGCCAGGCGGCCCCGGAGCGCCTTTTTGCCGTGGCCATGGTGCCGTTGCAGAACATGGATTTCGCCCTTGAGGAACTTCAGCGGGTCGCTGACATGCCCTGTTTCCGCGCGGCGTTTATCCGGCCGATGTTTATCGAGGAGCGCTACTTCACCCATCCCTACTACGACACGCTGTGGGCGGAACTGGAGCGCCTGGGACTGACGGCTGCCGTGCACCCGACGCCGGGCTTGTGGAACCCGGAGTGGACGTCGCATGGTCCGTTTTTTGAAAAAATACGTGACCGGCTGCACGAGTTCTCGCGCCTTGCCGGGGGCGGCGGACCGTATTCGGGCGGCGGCAATGGGATACACGGGGCCAGTTTCTTCACTGCCGCGACACCCCTCGGCCATCCGGTGGCGCCGATTCTATCCGGCTGGTTGGACAACCATATGTTCGTTGCCTCGGTGCTGATTGGCTTTACCGTGATGCAGCGCTATCCCGAACTGCGATTTGTGGTGGCGCATGGCAAAGCGTCCTGGATGGAGGAAGTGCTGGAGAAAATGGAGGCTTCGGCAAAGGTCATTCCCCTGTTGCACACCTATCCGGTGCACACGGAGCCAGAGGAGCTGTGGGCAGAGGGTCGGGTGATGTTGGGGTTTGATGCCGAGGAGCGGCTGATTCAGAAACTGCCCGAGGACTTTGCTGCAAAGGTCGTCTGGGGCTCGCATTATCCCCACCACGACACCACCAGTGCCTGGGATGCCATGGACAAACTTACCCAAGCCAATGTACCGGACTCCCTGATTACCCGTATGATGGGAGGGAATGCCGCCCAGCAATTTGGTATTGAGCTCATACAGACGGTGAGTGTTCAGGCTTAACGCCCCAAGGCAATGGCTAGAGCACTTTCGGATCAATCTGACTCGCTCGTTCGTCACCGTCCATCACTCCCCACTTGAGGGGGAGTCGGCGAAACAAGGGCGCAGCCCGCAGGCGAGCCGGTGGGGGGAACTCATCGCAGTGCAACCAATGCAATCAGATACGAAAATGCTCTAGTGCCCGGCATAAGCCGGGGCCATTTGCCGGCCATCCGATTTCTTCCGATGGAACCCCCGCCAATGCTGCCGCAGAAAGGATGACATGTCATCGGTCCTTTCTGATCATGCGCAGTCCGGGTTTAGGGTGCGGCCTTGCCTGGCGACCTTCCCACAAGCCCACGCCTCGTCGTGCTTTCGGCCATTCAGAAATGCAAAAATGCCCACTCTTTCGTGATGCAGCACAACCCTGGCATGGCGCATCGCCGCGTCCATGGACCTCGGAATCAGCCGATGACCCGTTCCACCGGCACACCCCGGACGTCCATTTCAAAAGCCAATCCTTCGACCGGCGGTCGGGCGTAAGTCCATGTGACACCGTCCGGTGCCGCACCGCGGCGGACGACCTCGTCGGCAAGAAAACCGTGAATATCGTGGACCGTGTAGACTTGGCTCGTGGTGGCGTCTGCCCACGTCAAGCCGAGCGCCGCCATGCGAAACTCCATCGCACCGAGGACGAATTGCGCCTTTTCTCGCATCGCATCGGGCGCCGTGTCCCCGAGACGGATGATCCGGTCCGCATACCCGCCCGGTCCTTCGGGCGCTTCGCCGGAGCCCGAGATGACGAAGCTCTTCACCTCTGCCGCGTCGCTCGCCTCTGCCGGCATGGTGTACGAGAACGCGTGAAAGCAGGGTGCGGTCGGAGGATCGACCTCGGGACATACGTTTGACCGCGCAACGGGATTCTCGTCGTCCTTGAAGATGCCCCAGCGTTCGAGCGTGTGCACATAGACCCGATTGAAGGCAATGAAGCCTTCTTCCGTAAACTGGCCGGGCGAGCGCAGTTCGCACGCGCAAAACGCGGTGAGCGGTCGTCCGAGAGCGCCGAGATGCCTCTCGATCCGACGGAACCCTCGTCAAGCGGTACGGGTCGTGCGAACCGGGCACGTTCCATGACGTATCCCCGCTCCGCCGAGACGCCCCCCGAGTACTGGAACCGCCCCCGCACGTAGCGATACCCGCCGGGCTCAAAAACTGCTGTTTCCGCCATATCACATCTCCGGTAGTTGGAGTTACAGACTTGCGACTCGACTCAAATCCAGCTCTGTACCTGTATTTCGTTGAACCTCCCGAAATCACTTGTTGGCGATAGGGGTCAAATCACAGACTATGTCGTTTCATGGCAAAAATATCCCCTCATCCCCACTTAGTCACGCTCTTTCAGAGATATTCAACCGTGCGTTCACCCGGTTGAAGACGTGGTACACCAAACCGCCATCATCCGCTTGTTTCCGCTACCCATCCCTATAGCCAACGGAATCTCCGCGCCCAGCAAGAAACGGTTTCTGGCACCTTTTCTTCTTGAACTCGAAGCCGTGGTCAAGGACCTTCACCCCGACGTCGCGGGCGAGGACAGCGTCGGCATCGGCACCGACTTCACCCAGGGCTACGGGCGGAAATTCTTCCACTGGATCACCCACGACAAGGGCTACGCCCGGCGGCTCACGGAGTTCGGTGAGATCGTCAACCCGGAAGGCATCCGGACCATCGGCGAACTCCCGAACCTGACCGCCGCGATGGTTCGACAGGGTTGGCCGGGGGCGCGAATCCGGAAAATCATGGGCGAAAACTGGCTGTCACTGCTCGCCCGGGTCTGGGGCGAGTAGGCCGCCTGGCCGCACCGGAAGTCCCCAGCAAGGAGCGGGCAATGGGGTGGTTGGGCCATCCGTCGGGCACCAGCGAAATCGCCTTAGCCCACGGACCAAGGCGTGGGGCAAGCTGCGTGAGTTGAGGATAGATTGCAATTGCTTTCGAGTCTGCGCATGCAATTCTAAAGGAGCCAACAGGCGTCCTGTCCGCATCGGTCTCTCCTCTCTGGAAATATGTTCTGAGAGGAATCTAAGGACTCTCGCCAAAATAGATCATTGATTAGCGTCTTGGGGACACCGTATAGTTCCACTCCCCATGGAACTTATCGCGTTCGATAACAATTCTCGCCATCTGGTCCTCCGTCACCTCTCGACCCGTCGGATAGCTCCCCTCGTCCAACCCCGCCTGTATCTCCAGACCGCCCTTCGTAGTCGTGTTGCCGATCAAGTTCACCACCGCCTCACGGCTTACCAACGGGCGTCCACGCCAGTTCTCGGTAATGTGACAGAACATCCGGTGCTCGATCTTGTTCCACTTGCTCGTTCCGGGCGGGAAATGGCACACCGATATCGCCAGCCCCAACTCATCAGCGAGCCGCAGCTCCAACTTCCACAGGCGGTTGCGGCTGGCGTTGGAGCCGCCACCGTCGGCCGTGATCAGCAAGCGCTGTGCCCCACCATAGACACGCCATCCCATCTGCCGCCACCAACGCCGAATCGTCGCCACCGCAAACGCTGCCGTGTCGGGGTCCACCCCGACACTGACCCAGCCCTCGTTGGCCACCAAGTCGTACACCCCGTAAGGAATCGCCTTGCCCAACTCCTTGTCCGGGAAGTCGTACACCTTCACCTCCTCCGGCCGCCCCTGCGGTCGCCATTCTCGCCCGCCGTTGCGGTACTGGCCTATCAATTCCTTCTTCTTCGTGTCTACCGATATCACCGGCTGACCCTGATCCTGGAATGCTTGGCAGCGTTCGTTGATATGCTCAAACTGCGCGTCCCGATCAGGATGCTGGCGGCCTTCCAGCGTCTTGCGGTTCGTCTGCAACCGGTAGCCCAACTCGTGCAGCATCCGGTTCACCGTCCGTTCACTGACCGGATGACCCTGCGCTTGCAGTTGCGCGGCCAACTTCGCTGCACTTTTGCAGGTCCAGCGCAACGGACTTGTCGGATCACCACGGCTGAGCGGTTCAACCAACTGCTCCAACGCCGTGCGCAGGTCCGGGTCCTGTTCGCTCAGCCGCTTGCGGCCCCCGCCCGCTCGGCGTTGCCGTCCCGCAGGCGCCGCTGGCGGACCCTGCGATTGCGTAGCGCCCAGTTCCTGCAAGCCTGCGCGTACCGTGCTGCGTGCGATGCCGGTCGCCTGGAACACCCGTTCGATCCCGCCACGACCGATGGCGCGGGCTTCGGTCGCCGCCCATCGACGCCGGCCTCGTTCGTCCAACAACGGCTTCAGTGCCTCGAACTTCTCTTTGATGGTCTGCGACACGGCGTTCATCCGCACAGCATACCAGGTTATTCTGCAAAAATGGATGATCTAATTTGGCGAGAGTCCTAAGTATCTCTACGTACGTCTCCAGGGAAAACTACCTTGGTTGAGAGATTTCATAACCGATATGCCCGCCTGGAAGCATATCAAGGCACTTCGTCGCAGATACACACATCAGTGGGCCCTACGAAAAAAGTGGTCCCTGCAAAAAAAAACTTCCTAAGTAGGCCGGAAGAGATGGCCAAGCTAAAGCACCGTTGATAGAAACTGCCGGCAAGCGGCATTCTGTAAACCTTAGGAATGGGCGTAGGTCTCAAATTGACCAGTTAGGCGGCCCGTCCGTGCGCCAATTTTGTAGATAAACCAACAATACCCCAGAGGAGTGCTGCCCATCACCCACCGTCCTACGTGACACTTTGTCACCTCGCGCATCAATCATGTCCCCAAGCCGTACCAAACCCCCTCAGAATCGCTCAATTTCGGACTTACACCCTTAGGAATGATCGAAATCCGTGCTACTGCTGGACTTACGCGTTTCGGCCCGGCACCGGCCTTTTCTCCCACCGAGACCCCCTTCTCACGGGATTCTCACCCACAAACAATGGGGGGCCGCTGGCGACTGCGAGCCTCCCTAACAGCCTGCATGACGCGCCAAGATAGCCTGGAAGCCACCCTTTGGTCCCGGTCATTGCCCTGCGGCGACGAGTCCCGACCATCCGGCCCTGACGACGAAGGATGCCGACTCGCGTCGATCACAAGGGCGACTATCATGCAACTCGTCACCCCAAGAAACAGGACGGCTAGGGCGACGAAGCTGACCTTCGCCAGATCCCACGCCCACAGGCTGTGGATCATATTGACAAGTCCAGCCACGATGCCCGCGGCCAACGGCACAAGCAGGCACAAACCCCCGGCAATCGTCCACGCATCGTGCTTCGGAGGTACGCCTACTACCGAAAGCCACGTGGATGCCACCGACCAGCAAATCGGATCCGCCTGGAGGCCGAGGCAGCGCCAGGCATCTGCTTCCCGGTCATGCAGGTGCCCGCACGTCAGGCGGCCCTGACGGGACCGCAAAAGCCACGCTCTCATATCGCATCACTCCCCATGCAGGGTCCCTCGCCGACGACCCAGGCTGGTAGGCGGAGTAGGCAGCCACGAGCAGCGTCACGGCCTGTTGTATTCGGGAGCTACCAGTCTGAAACCAAGCGCAAAGGAGGTATGTCGAATACGCTTAACCCAGGGCTTGAACAACACCATCCAGCCACCGTGGCCCTGCCGGGTGTGCATGCCACGCCAGGACACCATCCCCTACCATGCAGACATGCTGAAATTGATGCTCGCCGCTGGGTACGAAAAAAGCTTCTCTGCCATCCAGGCCGCACCAACGTCATTACTGAACTGAAAACGCGCTCAAAGCGACGCGCCTGTACCTCCCTCGGGAATCTCGTGACCGCCGCCGGCACGTGCCCTCGCACGCGTTCCTGGGCAGTAGAAAGACTGTCTACCCCACGGAGGTGCCCCGGCCTTTTCGGAAATCTCACTCACCGCGGCGTTGCCGAGGTTGGCTTTTGCAGGGCATTACGCAGCGCTTCAACTTTGGTTTCGTGTTCTTCAAGAGCCTCAACCCGGCCCGTGCCACGTCACTGGCGGAGTTGTAGCGACCGGAAGTACGGAAAGGGGACCTTCGAGGCTTAACGTGGCATTCCGATCTTATCCGCAACTGACCCCAAGGAGGCCGACGGCAGCCGCGGGTTCTTCTGCGGCATGTTCAACGCCCTGAACACGTCATGGCTGGCCGTAGAGAGCCAGAAGCCTCGAAGCGGGTCGGATGCCAGGACTGAAATCGGGTTGTCGGCGCCGCGGGGAGTCTGGAACCCTTCCGGAGCGAGCCCCTGAAGGGGCCGCCGCCAAGTTCTGATAATCGTACATTCTGTATACTTTGCAGCGGTCCTGAAAAATCACCAAGTCTTTGTGGATTGTGCCATCCCGATCTCGTTCTCGCCTGTCAGCCGTCCAAGTTCCTCTTTCCGGTTTAGGTCTCCATCTACAAAGTACGATCAGCTGGTCAAGGGTCGCTGCAGTTGACGACGACGTTATCCCTTTCGCAGTCGATTTCCCACTCACCATGGTGCCACTCGCCGTAGCAGCGTCCGGGGCCGATGGGGTTGCCGAAGGACAGGTCGTTATTGAAGTCTACGAGTAGGCGGTGCTCGAGAGCGTGTTCCAGAGCGCTCAGCTCGCTTCTGGATAGTCGTCTTCCAGACGCCAGGTCGTAGCACAGAGGGTGGTCCGCGTGGTAGTGATCCTCGACGATACAGCCGCTCAGGACTGCGAGCAGTAATAGGAAAAGTGTTGTTCTTTTCATGGTGGCTACCATTACTCGTAAGGCAGTGACGCCTACTTCGTATAAGTCTTCATTACTGCATTACTTCGGACAGTACTCAAACCGCCCTGTCAGTGACCGTGCCATCGTTACAAAGGTCTTGGTAATCGGGCTGGATTTTTCCAGGCTATGCCCCTGGGCTAAATACTGAGAAATTCGCTCCAGCAGATGTTGGTTGAAGGCGCGCCGTTTGAGACTCGCCATGGAAAACCCTGCCTGAGCACCGCCGCTTTGCTGTCGCGCTTCCAGTTTGCCCAAGGTCAGAGCACTCATGCTGGCATTGAAGTGAACATGCAGCTTGGCCTGCGAGCGCGCTTGACAGGCACTCAGAGACGTAAACTGCTTGGCGTCTCTGAAGAGAAACTCGATCTGGAAGCGTGCTTTGTACCCACGATAAAGCGCCTGCGCATCCAAGTCGGTATCGGTGCTGAACAGCACCGCCCGCCGCTGGGTGCGGGTATCCACCACAAGCACGACTCGCAGAGCCTGCCCCGGAACCCCGTATCAAGTACGGGGCAGGCTTTGATCCGGGGTTGCGCCGAAGATGCACGTGGTTGAGGACTTGATGGTAGAGAATGATGTCGTCGTCTTCACTCTGCACCCATTCAAAGCGTGACAGGTCGTCCCAATGGACCTTGCCGTCATAGGTCTTGGGACGCCCTGGTCCCGGGCGCCCCGGTCCTTGGTAGAGATAGCGCAGGCTTGTCCTTGTGAAAACGGGGATTGGCGTCACGGCGCAGTTTGCCAATCTGGTGCAGCCCGAGGGCGCGAACCCCGTCGAGGAATTTACGTTTGCTGTAATAGCCATCCGCTACCACATAGCGTAGATGACCCAGATGATGGTCACAGACCACGCCTCTCAATTGTCCAGATAGGCATCGATGCCTGTTGCCTTGCGGCTCCGAGGTCTTGTCGCTTGGGGATGTCTGCTCGACGCTGAGGCCATAGGCGCAGTTGTCGGTAATGTCGATCCAGGCCAGAAGCGAGACTTCCAGACCTTTTTCACTGCGCCGGTGGCGGCGGTTCCAGAAGCGTTCAAGGCCATAGGTAGGGGTACCACTTTTGGGGATAAAGCTGGCGTCGATAACGAGGGCCTGTTGATGCTCGGGCGCAATCACTTGGGTAATCGCCGCTTTATTGAGTGCGACAAAGTCAAACGGTCGGTCGTACCACCGCGCAAAGAGCCTGCCCCGGACTCGGTCCGGGGTACGTTCGTGATAGGAACTGTAGCGGCTGAGATTACGAGCTGACGATGCAGCGGTACGTACAGGCACAGTTAGGATGACGCCAAGAGCCTGTCGAAGGAATCGCAAATTTGGTTTGGAGTGCCAGAGGATTGCCAAATGAGCTAACAGAAGATGACGACGGAACTGTAACTCTCTCGTATTTCGAGGAGTTACAAGAGTTGGAGGGAGTGGAGGCGGCGGGAATCGAACCCGCGTCCGAAAGCCTTCGGTCACAGCGTCTACATGCTTATCCGGGGAAAATGGTTTCGCCTCTTCCCAACCTCCCCAGCCGGGCAAGGAAGACGCTAGCCTGGATTAAATTTCGCCCACCGCTCTCCCCAGGCAGGGGGAACAACGGGCTATCCCACATCGTGGCGCCTGATCCTGACACCGTGGGCGGGTGACAGGGAGACGCTGGCCGGGATTAAGCGGCCAGAGCTACTTCATAATCATTGGCGATTATGTTTTGTTCCGCTTTTTTACGAGGCCAGCGGAGTCCTCGGCATGCAACCGTAACGTCATGTACCCCCGTCGAAATCCTTTCGCCCCCTTCGGTAGTTACTCACCGGCCAGCGCCCGCGCGATGTCGCGCTGCGCGTCGCGGCGTTTCATGTCCTGTCGCTTGTCGTATTGCCGCTTACCCTTGGCGAGACCCAGTTCAACCTTCGCCTTGCCGCGGCTAAAATACATACGGGTCGGAATCAGCGTCAGCCCCCGTTCCTGCGCCTTGCCGGCGAGTCGATGAATCTCCCGCTTGTGCAGGAGGAGCTTGCGGGGCCGTTCAGGCTCGTGGTTGAAGCGGTTGGCCTGTTCGTACTGATTGATGTACGCATGCAGCAGAAACATCTCGCCGTCGCGGGCCTCGGCGTAGGCATCCTTCAAGGTCGCCCGCCCGGCCCGCAGGGACTTAACCTCCGTCCCGTGCAGAACCAGCCCGGCTTCGAACACCTCGTCAATCGCATAGTCGAAGCGCGCCCGCTTGTTGACGCAGATGATTTTCTTGCCGCCTTTGTCTGCCATGCGTCCAATCCTCTTGTTGAGAAGGTCACGCACTATACCCCGCCGACCCGGTTTTGGCAAGGGAAGCAGGCCCAATTGCACTGTTTACAATGGGTTATTGGCACTTGATAATATACGGCCATGCCGGATTGCCGGCAACGACCCCACCGCCATGCCTTACACGAAGGAACGACTCCCATGATTATGACCAACACGCTGCGCGAGAAACTGGACGCCGGCAAACCCACCATCGGCACGCATTACCTGTCGTCTGACCCCGACCTGGCCGAAATCATCGGCGACACCGGCCTGTACGACTACGGCGAATTCTGCGCCGAGTACAGCGCCTTCGACATGCAACTGCTCTACCACATGGCCCGCGCCGGGCAGTGCGGCAACCTGCCCCTGATGATCAAGCCGGACCAACGCAGCCAAGCGTTCTGGGCCCAGGCCGCCATCGGGGCGGGGTTCAAGGCGGTGTTGTTTACGGACATCCGCACCGTGGAGGACGTGCAGCTTTGCCACCAGGCCATCCGCGCCGACATGCCGGACATCGGCGGGCACATGGGCGTCAAGCTGCGCCGTCCGGCGTTGACGAGCTACAACCCCGACGGCTACCTGGACGACCTGCAATCGGTCGTGTTTCTCATCATGATCGAGAAGGACGTCGCGGTGGATCAATTGGACGCGATTCTGCAGGAATCAAAGGACAAGGGCGTTGACATGAACCAGTGGGGGCCGGCCGACTTCGGCTTCTCGCGGGGCAACCCCAGCCTCATGTTCACGCCGGAGATCCGGCCCTTCGAGGAAATGGTGATCAAGAAATCCATTGAATACGGCGTGCCGCCGCGTATGGAGATTTCCGACGTGGAGCAGGCCAAGCGCTACGTGCAGTTAGGCGTGCGCCACTTCTGCATCGGCTGGGACCGCTTCATCTATCAGGCGGCGCTGATGAATCTCGGCGAAGGGCTGCGCAAGGTCGTGGAGACGCTCTAACCGAGGAATTTCGGTTCCGGCAGGCCGCGCATGCCGGGTTCACAAGCGAAGATGCTGCCGGCCTGCGGCTGTCCGGGCTGCAGGGGCGCACTGCCGTCGGAACCGATGCTGGTGATGTACATGATCTCCAGATTTTCGCCCCCGAAGGCGGGCATGGTCGGCTTCTGCACCGGCAGTTTCAGCGTCCGGTCCACGCTTCCGTCGGGGGCGAAGCGCACCATTTGCCAGCCACCGACGTTTGCTGACCAGTAAAATCCTTCAGCGTCCACACAACCGCCGTCGGGACGGCCGGGCAGGTCGTGCGTGGTGGCGAACACCCGGCGGTTGCTGAGGGTTCCGTCCTCAGCGTGGAAATCAAACGCCCAGATGGTCTCCTGCCTCGTGTCCGCGTGATACATCGTGCCGCCGTCGGGGCTGAAGGCCAAGCCGTTGCTGACACCGATGTCGGGCACCATGGTGCGCCAGTTCAGGTCCGTGTCGAGGCAATACAGCGCCCCGGTACGCTGCGCCGGGTCTTGGGGGTCGCGCATGGTGCCGGCCCAGAATCGTCCATCGGGTCCGCAACGTCCGTCGTTAAACCGATTGTCCGGCTTGTCTGCCTCCGGGTCGACAATTGGGGTGAGCGCGGCGGTGTCGAAATCGAGAAAATGGAAGCCTGAGCGCAGCGCCACCACCAAGCCGCCCTGCTCACGAAGCACGAAGGAACCAACCTGCTCGGGCAATTGGCACACGTCGTTGTCGCCGGTGGCCGGATCGAATCGGTTGACCGTGTGCCCGTTAATGTTCACCCAATACAACCGTCGCTCTTCCCGGCTCCACGTCGGACCTTCCCCCAACTCGGCCCGTACGTCCAGTACACAACTGACATCCGTCATGAGGCTCCCCTTTTTCGGCTTGGTTTGATTGGCGCAACGCAACGCGGGAGCATTCTACCTTGGCCCTGCTTCTCGGGTCAAAACACCAGCAGACAGGCCCCGTGACCGGTGTTGACAAAGGTTTGGCGGGCTTATAACGTGGCACCATCCATTACATGCATCACTCAGGGAGACCATTCATGCACAAGCTTGCGCTTGGATTCCTCGCGGCATGCGCCGTGACCCTTCTTCCGGCCGTGCCTTTCCCGCAGCACCCCCTGGCGCCCACTGACGCAGAGGCCCAGGGCGACACCATCGTATTGAAGATTCAGGCGAGCTTCCCGCCTTCCAGTTTGTTGTTCACCAACATGCAGAAATTCGCCCAGGGCGTCGAGCAGATGTCGGGCGGGCGCGTGAAGATCGACGGGTTTCCGGCGGGCGCCATCGTTGGCGCCTTCGACGTGGCCGACGCCACGCACCGCGGCGTTCTGGACGGCGCCCATACCTGCACGTATTACTTCATGGGCAAGCACATGGCGGCGGCCCTGTTCACCTCGGTACCCGGCGGCCCCTTCGGGATGAGCACCATTGACTTCTGGGGCTGGGAGTTTCAGGGCGGCGGCTTCCAGCTTTTGAACGAGTTTTACCAAGATGTTCTCGGCATGAACATCGTCGCCTTCCCCGTTTTCCCGACCACACCCCAGTCGCTCGGCTGGTTCAAAAAACCGCTGAAGAGCGTTGATGATCTCAAGGGCCTCAAATACCGGGTTCCGGGTCTGGCCTCCGAGGTCTACAAGGACATGGGGCTTTCCGTCGTCACGCTGCCGGGCGGCGAGGTGCTGCCCGCCGGTGAACGCGGCGTGCTGGACGCCACCGAGTGGTACACCCCGGCAGAAGACCTGCGGCAGGGATTCGACACGGTGTGGAAATTCTATCATTACCCCGGCGCACACGAGATTGCCGGCTCCTGCGACTTACTGATTAACAAGGAGGTCTGGGACGGCCTATCGCCGGATATTCAGGCCATCGTCAAGGCGGCGGCCTTCCAGGCAGCGTTCCAGTCGCTGCTGGAGTTCAACCGCATGGACGCCGAGGCGCTGAATACCTTCACGGACAAGCGCGGCGTAACGTTGGTCAAAACGCCCGACGACATCCTTCTGGCGCACTTGAAATCGTGGGACAAGATCGCGGAGCGCGAATCCGCCAAGGACCCGTTCTTCAAGAAGGTGCTGGATTCCCAGCGGGCCTACGCCGAGCTTGTGGTTCCCGCGCGGCTGTTCATGAGCCCGTATGACACGATCGCCGATTACTATTGGGGCGATAAGCAGCCGTAACGTTAACTCACGCCGGAGAATGAAATATGGCGGCCGGGGTTGTTCAGACGTTTGGCAATTCCGGCCGCCGTATGCTATATAAACCGCCACGTACACTTCCCGTCCAATGACCTTTCCGTAAGTCGCCGGCCTCTGCTGAGGCTCCGGCGCCAATCCACCAAACTACAGGAGGCACCCATGTTGTTCCACATCCTTCTCGCCGGCTTGGTGGCACTGCTGACGATGCCGCTGTCGCCTGCTGCAAACACCGCCGAGCGTATCAACCTTGGCCCCGGACCGGTCGATTGGCAAGGCGACCTGTCGCCCATCGCGTCGAGCGAGTGGAGCTACGACCGCGCGGCGCACTTGCTGGAGCGCGCCGGTTTCGGCGGTACTCCGGAGGACATCGAACGGCTGGCCGCCATGACGCCGGATCAGGCGGTGCAGCACCTGGTGCACTACGAATCGATCGACAACGGCCACCTGCAGCCGTTTGACGAATCCGGCGTGCACGACCCCGGTCTGGTGCCCTTCCCGCCCAGCCGCCCGGCCACCACTCAGCTCGCCAAGGAGAACGGCGAGGCAATCGGTGTCAAGGTGAAGGCATCGGGCAATCGGCCCCTGCAGCCGGTGGTCAACAAGTTCTTCTACTGGCTGCGCGCCAGCATGTTGGAAACCCGGCGGGTGTCGTATTGGTGGGCCAACCGCATGCTCAACACCAATCGCCCGCTCGAAGAGAAGATGGCGCTGTTCTGGCACGGCCACTTCGCCACCAGCGAGGACAAGGTGCGCGACTACCGCAAGATGCTGCTGCAGAATGAAACCTTTCGGCGCCACGCTACCGGCAACTTCCGCGACCTCGTGGTGGCCGTGGCACAGGATCCGGCGATGCTCTACTTCCTCGACGCCGGGGTCAACATCAAGGGGGCACCGAATGAGAACTTCGCCCGCGAGATCATGGAGCTGTTCACCATGGGGGTGGGCAATTACAGCGAAGAGGACATCCGCGAGGCGGCGCGGGCCTTCACCGGCTGGAACTCCGATGACCTGACCTTCGTGATCAACGCGGCGCAGCACGACGACGGCCCCAAGAGCTTCCTGGGCAATGAGGGCAGCTACGACGGCGTGGCGGTCGTCGACCTGATCATGGCGCAGCCCGCCACCGCCGAAATTCATGGCCGCCAAGCTCTATCGCTACCTAGCGCGGGATGAACTTTCGCCGGACCTGAACGGCGAGTTGGCCGCGATCCTGCGCGACAACAACTACGAGATGAAGCCGCTGTTGCAAACGGTCTTCCTGTCCAAGGATTTTTACAGCCCCGCCAGCATGGGCACCCATATCAAAAGCCCGACGGAGTTGGTGGTGTCCACTTACAAGAAGCTCGGCGTCGATGACGTGCCGGGCATTCCCGACTTCAACCTGGTGATCACCGCACTGGGACAGGAACTCTTCTGGCCGCCCACCGTCGCGGCTGGGCGCACGGGCGCAGTTGGATCACGCCCGGCTTACTGCTGGAGCGGGGCAATTTCGCCCGCGCCACGCTCTTCCCGGACATCGACTTCATCCCCCGCGATCGCTACCAAGCCAGCTTGATGCTGCGCGAGGTGCACGCCCGGATTAAACAGGGTTTCGACATCACCAGCGCCACGCAGCCGGGATACGGCAACGGTGGCATGATGATGGCCGAATCGAACATGATGGCCGACCGCGACGAGGACTTCAATACGCGCTATGGCAGCTACCGGGGTTGGCAGATGGCCATCGAGCGGGTGAAGCCGTTGCCGCGCCACACCGCCCGCCTCGATCTGAGCGCCATGGTCCGGGAAGCGGGGCTGCGCAATACCGAGAAGGTCGTGGACTACTTCCTCGAGCGCTTCATGCGGACGCCGCTCGGACAGGCGGAACGAAACCTGCTGGTCACCTTTCTGGAGAGCGAGTTGGGCACTTCCGACATCGGGGAGGCCGAGACTTACCTGGAAGCGCCCTTGCGCATGCTCCTCCATCTCATTATGAGCCAACCCGAGTACCAACTCGGCTGATCCCCGCATTTTCAACAAGGAGAGTTCGTCATGAGGAATAAGTATTCGGCATTGCAGGACCTGACCCGGCGCGACGCCCTGAAGACCGGCTTATTCGGTATGGGCGCGGCGGGTGCCCTCGGGCTGCCACCCTTCTTTTCGCGAGCCGCCGATGCCATGGTGAAGCGAATCGGCGACGGCCATAACGAAAACCGCATCCTGGTGGTCCTGGAGTTGTCTGGCGGCAACGACGGGCTGAACACGCTCGTTCCCTACGGCAACGATGCGTACTACCGCCAGCGCCCGACCATCGGCATCAAGCCGGAGAAGGTACTCAAAATCGACGACCACTTTGGTTTCAATCCGGGCCTGGTGGGATTCGAGCGGCTCTACAAGGATGGCAAGATGGCCGTGGTTCACGGCTGCGGCTACGACAATCCGTCGTTTTCGCACTTCACGTCCATGGCCTACTGGCACACCGCAGCACCGAACAGCGGCGAGGAGTACGGCTGGCTGGGGCGCTTGGCGGACGCCGTCAAGCCGGGCGGCGCGTCGAACTACATTGTGAACATCGACGCCACCCAATCCCTGGCGGTGCGCAGCCGCGACCACGTGCCGGTGGTTTTCGACGCGCCGGACAAATTCGCCCGCGAGGGTTTCCATTCGCAACAGCCGTTATTCCAGCACGTCGCCGATTCCAACGGCGCGGGCAATCCGTCACGGGACTACTTGCTTAACATTGCCCAGAGCGCCCTCGACGCCTCGGCGCTGGTGCGGCAGGCCTGGACTGATTACAGTTCGCCGATCGACTACGGCATCGTGCCGCTTGACTTGCCCAAGATTGCGGCGCTGATCAACGCCGACATGCCGACGCGGCTGTATTACACCACCTTCCGCAACAACGCCTTCGACACCCACGTGCACCAAGGCAACCTGCACCAGCGGCTGCTCACATACGCCGCCGACGCCGTCGCCGGTTTCATGGCGGATATGGAACGCATCGGCCGTGCCGATGACGTGGTCATGCTGCTGTTTTCCGAGTTTGGCCGCCGGGTGCCCGAAAACACCAGCCTCGGCACCGACCACGGCGCCGCTGGCCTCATGTTCATGATCGGCAAACCCGTCAAGGGCGGCCATTACGGCCAGCTCCCCAGCCTTACGGAACTGGATCCCGGCGACAATCTCATCTACACCACCGACTTCCGCCGCGTCTACGCCACAGCCATCGACGGCTGGCTCGGCTACGAAGACGCCCACACTCTCCTGGACGGCGATTTCAAGCCGTTCGACATGTTCGCGTAGTTCGCGTAGCGGGTAATACCGCAGCCTCACAAGCCACCACCCCGGCAGCCTCAGGGTTACCGGGGTGGTGGTTTGTAACGCACCGACAGACGACCAGAAAATCAAGGGCAGCAAACCCAACCCCAGAGCGTTTCCGCATCAAGCTGCAGGCCGAATTAACGACGCGTAATCCGATATTCCACTGCGCGCCGCAAACTTCGGTTCACCCAGCCCTGCTTGAAGCCGCCAGTCCATACATCGTCCAATGCAACCTGGAAATGCCCTGAATTACTGCCGCGCCAACGTCAAAGAGAGGTCGACGATGGCGAAATCGGCAGTGGCGAATCCGGGGACGGGGTTGCCATCCATGGTCATCTGGATGTTGGGAAACGGCGTCTGGTGGAAGGCCAGGCAGACGCGTTCAATGCCGGAAACAATGAGTTGGGCAAGGGGTGAGTCGCCGGCGTGCATATAGTGGGCGCCGGCGCTGGTGATCATCACCCGGTCGTCTGACGTGGCGACGCGCACCTTGATCGTGCGATCCTCGGAAAGACCCATGGCCTCGATCCGAACGGCAAGATCGACGGCCTGCATCGGGTCGGATGAGGCGGGATCATAACCGGTCAGACTCAGGGGTGAGATGGTCCACGAGGTGAACTGGTTGACCAGGAAGGCGCCTTGGCGGATGTTGGCGTCGCGGGCGGGGTTGCCGGTGTTGAACGACGTGATGTCCAAGACCAGGGAGCCGCTGATTGCACCGGTCGCCGGATCGAACTCGACCTGACCGGGCTGGATGTTGATGGCGCCGCGCACCGGGACGCCCATGCGGGCCGTGGGTTTCATCTTGAAGCCGGTGGCGCCGACCTCGCCGCTGACGACCCGCAGGGTTTCAGCAAAGCCGGGGGCAGTCCCGACGCCAACCAACAGAGCCATCGCCAAGACCGCTCCAGCAACGCGGCTTCCCAGGGTATTCCTACTCATAACTTCGCTCCTCGTAGTATTTGTTTACTCAATCGTTATCGTCTCGATCTTCATGTCTTCGCGGGGTCGGTCTCCGCCGTCCGTTTCCACCTGGCCGGCGGCGCTAACCACATCCATCCCCTCCACAACTTTGCCAAACACGGCATGCCGCCCGTCCAGCCAGTGGGTGGCTGCAAGCGTGATGAAGAACTGCGAGCCGCCCGTGTTCGGTCCGGCGTTGGCCATGGAGAGGACACCAGGAACGTCGTGCTTCAGCTCGGGGTGAAATTCGTCGTCGATGGTATAACCGGGGCCGCCCATTCCTGTGCCTTGCGGACAGCCGCCTTGGATCATGAAACCGCTGATGATGCGGTGAAAGATGAGGCCGTTGTAGAAGCCAGACTCAACCAATTTGATGAAATTGTCCGTCGTCTTGGGTGCCTTGCCCTCGCTCAGTTCTATCCGAAATACACCCTCGGACGTCGTGAAGCGTGCGTGTCGGTTTGCCATGATCTCCTCGTGGCTCTCGCCTGTGATTGGGTTGCGCGGGACGGTGAAAGGTCAGATTATACGTCGAAGCACGGCCATGATCTAACGCGCTTCGCATCCACGCTGCCCGGACAGTATGTTATCATAACGCTCTCCGGCGGAGGTTTTTCTCTTCCCTCTCCATACCCTGGGAGACATAGAAAGAAAGGAAAAAGGAGGCCCGCATGCAGGTTGAAGATATTTTGGCCCACCCACCCAAGGTGCTGACGCAGGAGCAACGAGAATTCTATTTCCAGAACGGTTATCTGGTCGTCGAAAACTTTCTCTCCGAGGCATGGCTGGATCGCCTGTGGCAAGTCACCAACGACTTCATCGAACAAAGCCGCTCGCGCACCGAGTCGGACAGCGTCTTCGATCTCGAACACGGTCACAGCGGGGATAATCCTCGCCTTCGCCGCCTGTCCTTCCCCACCGAACAGCACCCCCTTTACCGGGATTTCGCGGCCAATGGACCCATCGTTGACGCAGCCGAAGACCTCGTCGGACCCGACGTAAAATTCCATCACTCCAAGCTCAATTTCAAATGGGCCGACGGCGGCGAGGAAGTGAGATGGCATCAAGACATCCAGTTCTGGCCGCACACCAACTACTCGCCGCTCACCATCGGCGTGTACATGGACGACGTGGACGACGAAATGGGTCCCATGGGCGTCATCCCCGGCAGTCACAACGGAGAACTCTTCGACCTCTATGGCGACGACGGACAATGGACCGGCGCTATCAAGGACCGCGACCTGCCGCGCGTCGATCTGGACAAAACCGTGTATTTGCAAGGCCCGCGCGGCTCGATCACCATCCACAACTGCCGCACCATCCACGGCTCCATGCCGAACCTCTCGCACCGCTCGCGTCCCCTCCTCCTTCACACGTATGCCTCGGCGGACGCTCTGCACATCACCAACCTCACCGACCGGTTCCAGTTTTCCAACGTCATCGTGCGCGGCCAGCCCGCCAGATGGATCCATTTCGACCCGCGACCCTGTTTGATACCGCCGGATTGGTCGAAGGGTTACTCGTCCATCTTCGCACTGCAACAGGAAGAGGAAGCGGCCGGCCAGCCCAGCATGTAGCTGGGTACCAACTCGCAACTTCACCCATCATCGACGTAAGGGGCACGGGCATGACGAAACGCATCGCATTCATGGGCGCAGGGGCCGTGGGCGGCTACGTCGGCGGGCACATGGCACGGGCCGGCCTGGACGTCACCCTCATCGATCCCTGGCCGGATCACATCGAAGCCATCAAGCGCGACGGCCTTCACCTGAGCGGCACGCAGGGCGACCACACCGTGCACCCCAAGGCGCTGCATTTGCACGAGGTGCAGAGCCTGTTCAAGGATCCGGTGGACATCGCCTTCATTTGCACGAAATCGTATGACACCGAATGGGCCACCACGATGATCGCTCAATACCTGAAGCCGCACGGCGTCGTGGTATCGCTGCAAAACAGCATCAACGAAGAGCGCATCGCCGGGATTGTCGGCTGGGGCAAGGTGGTTGGCTGCATCGCCAGCACGATTGGCGTCGACGCCTTCAAGGCCGGGCACGTGATGCGCACCCTGCAGCCCGGCGGCGCCTCGTACACCGTGTTTCGCGTCGGCGAGCCGCACGGCCGAGTTACGCCGCGCGTGCAGGAATTGGCGGACATGCTCAGCAACGTGGACAGCGCCAAAGTCACCACTAACCTGTGGGGCGAACCGTGGTCCAAGCTGACCATCAACGGCATGGGCAACGGCATTTCAGCGGCCACCGGCATGAACAGCCTGGCGATGACCGAACCGGAGGTGAACCGCCGCCTGTCGATCCGCCTGGCAGGTGAGGCCGTGCGCGTCGGTCAGGCGCTGGGCTACGAATTGGAAAGCATCCGCGGCTTGCCGCCCGAAAAATGGGTGGACGCGGGCGCGGGCAACCCTGCAGCTGGAAGAAATCGAAGGCGCCATGCTGGCCGGTATGAAACGCATGACCGAATCGGGGCGGCCGTCCACCGGGCAGGACATCGTCAAGGGCCGGCGCACCGAGATCGCCTTCATCAACGGATTGGTGGCCGCCAAGGGCGAGGAAATCGGTATCCCGGCGCCTGCACACGCGGCCCTGACGGAGGTGGTAAAGGGCGTCGAGCGCGGTGATATGGCGCCCGATCCGGCCAACGTTGCGACAATCTGACCGCTCGCAGTGCGGTCTAAGGAGTGAGCACCATGTTGGATTATCTCATTCGCGGCGGCCAAGTGGTGACCCCCGGCGGCGTGGGGCAATGGGACATCGGCATTCGCGGCGAGAAAATCGTCGCGCTCGCCGAAGCCGGTAGCCTGACCGACGAGATCGGACGGATCATCGACGCCAGCGGCAAAGTCGTCGTGCCCGGCGGCATCGAACCGCACGCCCACGTGGCGGCGCCGATCATGGGGCATCCCGACGCGGAAACCGCCCCGCCGCCGGACGTCAGCCGCGCCGCGGTGTTTGGCGGCACCACGACTCTCGTCGACTTCGCCATCCAGTTTCCCGGGCGCGACATCTTCGCCGCCATCGACGAACGGAACGGCCGCTGGCAGGGGCAGTCGTACAGCGATTTCACCTATCACTGCATGCTGCTCGACGCCATCCCTTCCGACGTCATCCTGCAAATCCCGCAGGCCATCGAGGCCGGCTTCCCCACCTTCAAGATATTCACCACCAACATCCGCACGAACGTTCACGACCGCATGGCCCGCCTCGGTCACGTCGTGGCCGTCATGGAAGAAGTGGCGGCGCACAACGGCCTCCTGGTGGTGCACGCGGAGGACGACGACATCGTCCAGTTTCTCTACACCCGCCTCAAAGACCAGGGCACTTACGACTGGACGCACATGCACCGCGCCCACACCAACATGTCTGAGGACATCTCCTTCCGCCGTATCATCCGGGCGGCCGAGTGGACCGGTGCGGCGGTGTATTTTGTGCACGTGAGCGCCAAGGAGGGCGTGCAGGCGATCCGGGAGGCGCGCGCCAAGGGGCTGCCGGTCTACGGCGAAACCCTGCACAACTACGTGTCGTTCACCGCCGATGACTACCAGAAGACGCACGGCATGCAGTACCACACGTACCCGTCGCTCAAGTCCGAGGAGGACCGCCAGGCGCTGTGGCACGGCCTGCTGAACGGCGACCTGCACACCATGGCCACCGACGAGTATTGCACCACCTTCGAGCTGAAAATCGCCGGCGAGCAGATCGACAACGTGACCGGCGGCCACAACGGCGTCGAAACGCGCATGGGCATTACCTACACGGAAGGCGTCGTCAACCGCGGCATGCCGCTGCAGCAGTACGTCGACATCACCTCGGCAAACGCCGCTCGCCTGCTCGGCCTATACCCGCGCAAGGGCGCCATCGCCCCCGGCAGCGACGCCGACATCGTGCTTATTGACCCGACGCTGCACAAAACGCTGAGCATGGCAGACCTGCATATCAGCGACTATAGTATTTGGGAAGGCTGGGAAATCCGCGGCTGGCCGGTGTGGACCATGCTGCGCGGCCAGGTGATGGTCGAGGATGGCCAGTTGCGCGCCGACCTGGGAACCGGCCAGTTGATCCCACGCCGCATCGACCCGACAGTGCTGACCCGGCCCATGTAGGTCGGATTAGCACAGCGTAATCCGACTTCTGGTCTCTGTTTCGGTCACCCCGGATACAGCATTGCCAAACGGAACAAAGAAATGAACAACAACCTGGAATTCGCAGTACGCAACGAAGACATCGAAGCACTCGAAACGCAGGAGTGGCTGGAATCGCTCGATGACGTGCTGAAAAGCGGTGGTCCGGCGCGCGTCAAAAGCCTTCTGCAGCAGCTTCAGATGCACGCCCAACAAGCCGGCGTCTCGCTTCCCTATTCGGCCACGACGCCGTTCCTCAATACCGTGTCGGTGGAAGACCAAGCGCCATTTCCGGGCAGCCGCGAGATCGAGCGGCGTATCAAAAGTCTGGTGCGCTGGAACGCCATGGCCATGGTGGTGCGCGCCAATCGCCTCGATCCCGACATCGGCGGCCACATTTCGACCTTCGCCTCGGCGGCGACGCTGTACGAAGTCGCCTTCAACCACTTCATCCGCGGTAACGGCGGCGGCCAGCGCGGCGATCAGGTGTATTTCCAGGGGCACGCCTCGCCGGGCATCTACGCGCGCGCCTTTCTGGAAGGGCGGCTGTCGCAGGAACAACTCGAAAACTTCCGCAACGAACTCAAACCCGGGGGCGGCTTGGCCTCGTACCCCCACCCGTGGCTGATGCCGGATTTCTGGGAGTTCCCCACCGTTTCCATGGGGCTCGGCCCTATCATGGGAATTTACCAGGCGCGCTTCAACTGCTACCTGGAAGACCGGGGCCTGCTGCAGCCCGACCCGCGTGCCAAGGTGTGGGTCTTCCTGGGCGACGGCGAGACCGACGAGCCCGAAGCCCTCGGCTCGATCAGCCTGGCCTACCGCGCGAAGCTCAACAACCTGATTTTCGTCGTCAATTGCAACCTTCAGCGTCTCGACGGACCGGTGCGCGGCAATGGCAAGATCATCCAGGAACTCGAAGCGGTGTTCCGCGGCGCCGGCTGGACGGTCATTAAGGTCGTCTGGGGCAGCGGTTGGGACCCCGTATTCGCCCGCGATTACGATGGCCGGCTGGCCAAACGCCTGGGCGAGATCGTCGACGGGGAGTACCAGAAATTCTCGGTGTCCGACGGCGCCTACATCCGCGAGCACATCTGCAACGGCGACCCCCACCTGCTGGACCTACTCAGCCATCTTTCCGACGAGCAACTGCGTCGCATGCGGCGCGGTGGGCACGATCCCGAGAAGGTGTACGCGGCATACAAGGTGGCAATGGAAAACGACGAAGCGCCGACCGTCATTCTGGCGCAGACCATCAAGGGCTACGGACTCGGCGAAGGCGGTGAGGGGCGTAATATCACCCACAAGCAAAAGCTGCTCAACGAGGACGAATTGCGCGAGTTTCGTGCCCGCTTCGGCATTCCCATCTCCGACGACACGCTGCCGGAGCGCCGTTCTATCGCCCGCCGGTGGAAAGCCCGGAAATTCAGTATCTGCACGAGCATCGCCAGCAGCTCGGCGGCTACGTGCCGAGCCGTCAGGAGTCCGCCCCGCGCCTGCGCACGCCCCCCGAATCGCTGTTCGAGGAGCTCTACCACGGCACCGGCAACCGGGCGATTTCGACCACCATGGCATTTGTACGCCTGCTGTCCAAACTGCTGCGCGAGCGCGATATCGGCAAGCTGATCGTGCCCATCGTGCCGGATGAAGCGCGCACCTTCGGCATGGAATCCCTGTTCCGGCAGTGCGGCATCTACTCGCACATCGGCCAACGCTACGAACCTGTCGACGCCGATAGCCTGCTCTACTACAAGGAGTCCACCGACGGCCAACTGCTCGAGGAGGGCATTACCGAAGCCGGCTCCATGGCTTCGTTCATCGCCGCCGGCACGGCCTACGCCACCCACGGCATCAACACGATTCCGTTCTTCATCTATTACTCCATGTTCGGCTTCCAGCGCATCGGCGACCTCATTTGGGCGGCGGCCGACATGCGCTGCCGCGGCTTTCTGCTCGGCGCCACGGCGGGCCGCACCACCCTTTGCAGGCGAGGGCTTGCAGCACCAGGACGGCCACAGCCACCTGCTGGCCTATCCCATCCCGAACCTGCTGGCCTATGACCCGGCGTTCGCCTACGAGGTCGCGGTCATCATCCGCGACGGCATCCGCCGCATGTACGAGGAACAGGAGAACGTCTTCTATTACCTGACCGTAGAGAACCAGAATTACCCGATGCCGCCGATGCCCGACGACCCGGCCATCAAGGAGGGCATCCTCAAGGGCATGTACCGCTTCAAAACGGCGGAAAACCCGACGGCCCCGCTCAAGGCCCAACTCATGGGTAGCGGCGCCATCATGAACGAAGTGCTGGAGGCCCAGCAGTTGCTCGCCGAACGCTATCACGTCGCCGCCGACGTGTGGAGCGTGACCAGTTACAAGGCGCTGCGCCGGGAGGGGTTGGAGGTCGTCCGCTGGAACATGCTGCATCCGGACGAAACCCCTCGCCAGTCCCATCTCAGCAAGTGCGTCGCTGACGCGCCGGGGGTGTTCGTAGCCGCTTCGGATTACACCAAAACGCTGCCCGACTCGGTGGCGCGTTGGTTCCCCAGACCCCTCACTGCCCTGGGAACCGACGGTTTCGGACGCAGTGACGGCCGCAAGGCGCTGCGCCATTTCTTCGAGGTCGACGCGCGCTTCATCGCTTACGCCACCCTGCACGCCCTGGCGCTCGACGGGCAGCTATCCGTTGAGGCATTGCAGCAAGCCCAGCAGGACCTCGAGATTGACGCCGAGAAGATCAACCCAATGATGGCCTGAGCCCCACCCATCGAACCGTACGCACCGGTAAAACCTGGCCGCAAGGTATTGGAGACAGAACGGTATGGCAACGTTTGCGTTTGCGCTTCCTGAACTCGGCGAGAGCATCGAGTCGGGGGACGTCGTCCAGGTATTGGTCGCGGTGGGTGACGAGATCACCGCCGAACAGTCGGTGCTGGAACTCGAGACCGACAAGGCAGTGGTTGAGGTGCCGTCGCCTGTCAGCGGCTCGGTTACGGCGATTCACGTGGCGCCAGGAGACAAAGCGGCGGTCGGGCAGCTGATTGTGACGCTGGAAACGGATGGCGCCGCGGCGGCAAATGGTGCTCCCGCTCCAGCCGAACCGCCGGCAGAGGCAGAACCGGAGCCCCCTGCGCCCCCCGTAGCAGCCGAGACGGCCGTTGCCGCGCCCGCAAGCCCGCCAGCGCCCGAGGCGCGGGAAGCCCGTTCCGGTGCACCGGCAGCACCTTCGGTACGGCGGTTAGCGCGAGAAATCGGCGTTGATATCCATAAGGTCCCCGGCTCGGGACCGGGCGGGCGCGTGTCTGCCGATGACGTCAAACGTTACGCTCGAACAACACAACCCGATAAACCCACCGCCGCACCGGCCAACGTGCCGGCTGCCGTGACCCTGCCAGACTTCACTCGTTGGGGGGACATCGAGCGACGGCCAATGAACAACGTGCGCCGCCTGACCGCCGACCAAATGGCGCGCACGTGGGCCACCGTGCCGCAGGTGACGCAATACGATCAGGCTGATATCACCGAGCTTGAGCAGTTGCGGCAGAAATACGCCCCCAAAGCCGTTGCGGCAGGCGGCAGGCTCACCATCACGGCCATTGTCCTGAAAGTGGTTGCCGCCGCTCTCAAACGGTTTCCGCAGTTCAACGCCAGCGTCGACATGGCGACCCATGAAGTCATCTACAAACATTACTACCACGTCGGCGTGGCGGTGGACACCGACCGCGGCCTGTTGGTCCCGGTCATCCGCGACGTGGATCACAAGAACATCCTCACCCTCGGCGTCGAGCTGACACAACTCGCTGAGCGCGCCCGCAGCCGCAAAACCAGCCTGGAGGAAATGCAGGGCGGCACCTTTACCATCACCAACCTGGGCGGCATCGGCGGCACGGGCTTCTCGCCCATCCTCAACGCCCCGGAAGTCGCCATTCTCGGCATGGCACGCAGCCGCATCCAGCCCGTGCACGCAGACGGCCAATTCGTGCCGCGCCTGATGCTGCCGCTTAGCCTGTCGTATGACCACCGACTGATCGACGGCGCCGACGGCGCCCGTTTCCTCCGCTGGGTGGTGGAAGCCTTGTCGCAACCCTTCCTGCTCAGCCTGGAAGGTTAAGGCATGGCGATGGCTCCGCGCAGCACGCAAGTCGCGGTCATCGGCGGTGGTCCCGGCGGTTATGCCGCGGCCTTTCTAGCCGCCGATCTCGGCCTGCAGGTCACGCTCGTCGACGCCGAACCCAATCCCGGCGGCGTCTGCCTCTACCGCGGCTGCATCCCCTCCAAAGCCTTGCTGCACGTCGCCAAGGTGATCGGCGAGGCACGCCAGGCCAGGGAGTGGGGCGTGACGTTCGGCGACCCGCAAATCAACGTCGACGCCCTGCGGACCTGGAAAGAGGGTGTCGTCGGCAAACTCACCGGCGGCCTCGGCGACCTGTGCCGAAGGCGCAAAATTGACTTCGTGCAGGGCCGCGCCGTCTTCCGCGATGCGAACGCTTTGATTGTTCGCACGGAATCGGGAACCGAGGAGGTGGTCGCGTTTGAGCACGCCATTCTGGCCACCGGCTCCTTTCCCGCATCTCTCCCAAATCTTGGCGCCGATTCGCCCCGGATCCTTGATTCCACCGCCGGGCTTGCTCTGCCTGACATCCCGGAGAGCCTGCTGGTCATCGGCGGGGGTTACATCGGCCTGGAATTGGGTTCGGTGTACGCCGCCCTCGGTAGCCGGGTCTCCGTGGTCGAAATGACCTCGGGCCTGCTCCCCGGTGTCGACCGCGACCTCGTGCGCGTGCTCAGCCGGCGCCTGAAAGAACGATTCGACGCCGTCATGCTTGAGACAACCGTCACCGCGTTACAGGAAGAATCGCAGGGTATCCGCGCCAGATTCGAAGGCCACGGTGCCACGGAACCGGAACAAGTTTATGAAAGGGTTCTGGTTGCGGTGGGACGCCGCCCGCAGACCGATGGCCTGGGACTGGAGAACACCCGTGTTGCCCTGGACGCGCGCGGTTTTGTGCAGGTCGACCCGCAGCGCCGCACCCACGAGCCCACGATCTATGCCATTGGCGACATTACCGGCGAGCCCATGCTGGCCCACAAGGCGGCTCACGAGGGCCGCGTCGCTGCCGAAGCCATCACCGGCAAGAAGACGGCGTTCGAGCCGCAAGCCATTCCTGCCGTCGTGTTCACCGATCCCGAAATCGCCTGGTGCGGACTCACCGAATCACAGGCCAAACAACAACAGCGTGACGTCACCGTCGCCCGATTTCCTTGGGCCGCCTCGGGCCGCGCCCTGACCCTGGGTCACAGCGACGGCGTCACCAAACTGGTCATCGACCCCGAAACCCAACGCGTCCTCGGTGTCGGCATCGCCGGCAGCGGCGCGGGAGAAATGATCGCCGAAGGCGTGCTGGCGGTGGAAATGGCGGCCTTGGCGTCCGACTTGTCGCTCAGTATTCATCCCCACCCTACCCTCTCGGAATCCCTCATGGAAGCGGCTGACGTCTTCTTCGGTCAGAGCACCCACGTCTACCGCCCGCCCAGAGCCAGATAGTGTCGGATTTTCATCTTCGGAGCCGCTTGACGCTGCCCGGCGAAATGACTAGAATTCCGCCTTTGCACCCAACACGGCAACGGATTTTTGCTGAGGAGGTCCAACGTGGACATCTCTATTGAATACTGCGGTGAATGAAACTATTTGCCCGATGCTGCAAGTTTGCAGAGCGCGATCAAAGACAAATTCGACCACGTAGCCACCCTGATCGAGGGCAGCGGCGGCGCCTTTGAAGTCCGGGTGGACGGTAAGCTGATTTTTTCCAAGTTCAAGACCTTCCGATTCCCCGAAAACGACGAGATTTTCGACGCCATCACCAGCCTGCAATCCGTTTAGGCGGCGCGTCGTTTCCGGTTTTCCGTCCCCGGCACACCCCACGCCGGGGCGGTTAGAATGACGCCCATCCCATGCCGAGGTAGCTCAGTCGGTAGAGCAGAGGACTGAAAATCCTCGTGTCGGCGGTTCAATTCCGTCCCTCGGCACCTCCACTCGTTCCTGGAAGTCAGGTGCGCGCGCCAGCTTTTCCCTCCTCATAGGTTGCCGCGAAAACAGTCTCGGATAGCCACCTACGGAACGAATCGTTGTCGCTGAACTGCTTGAACAACTCGGTATGGTCGGCCAGAAGCTCAGTCATGGCCCGTTCCAGGGCTTTGTCATGCTCGATTCGGGCGTTCTGTCGGTCGGAGTTGGCCCTGGCGTTCTGGTACGCCTTGTCCCCGGCGACTTTCATGGGTAACTCTTCGGCGATCACCTTCTCGATCTTGTCCTGGTCCTTCCACTCGATGTTGCCGAACCGGTCGTTGAAGTCCCTGACGATGTTGGACAGCCGGTCCATCTCCGGTTCCGGCTTCTGCCCTCCACCCTCGGTGGGGACCGGCCCGATCTCTGCGTCCTCGTCGGGAAGCTGGATGTCCTGCACCGCCTGCTTCTCCACCCGGTAGCTGTCCATGTCGATGGCTTCGAGAATCCCCTTCGACAGGTCGTCCTCGATCGGAGCGGGCAGCTTGGGAACCAAGAAAGTCAGGAAAATGGAAAGTTTCTCCCACTCGGCGCAGGTGTAGGGCAGGATGGTTGCCAGGAACCCGTAGGCGCGGAGGAACGCCTTCGCCTTGCCCTTGAAGTCAACCTGTCCATCCTCGTCCAGTTGCTCCCGGTAGCCAGAGACGCATCCGTCCAGGATGGGGTCGAGTTGGTCGCGGTCGGCTCCCGAAAGGTACCGCTCCACCAGCTCGTCCACCTGAGCCGGTCCGTAGACCTGATAGCCGTCGAGGGCGGCCTTGAGGTCGTGCAGCCTGTCGGGGTCGGTCTCCTCCGCCAGGACGGTGGTGCGGTAGTAGTCGGCGAAGGCGGCCTGGATCGCATCGGCGTCGTTGGCGAAGTCCAGCACAAAGGCGTCGTGTTTCTTGGGATGCGCCCGGTTGAGGCGCGATAGCGTCTGAACCGCCTTCACGCCCGACAGCGGCTTGTCCACATACATCGTGTGCAGCAACGGCTCGTCGTAGCCGGTCTGGAACTTGTCGGCGCAGACCAGAAAGCGGTACGGCTCTTCCTGAATCTTGTCGGCAATCAGGTTGGACGCGAAGCCGTTGAGGGATACCTCCGTGACCTTCGTGCCATCGTACTCGTGCTCGCCAGAGAAGGCGGCAATGGCGAGGTAAGGACTCTTGCGCTCCGTCAGGTAGTCCCGGATGGCGTAGTAGTAGCTGATGGCCCGCTGGATGCTGTTCGTCACCACCATCGCCCGCGCCTTGGCGCCTATTTTCTGCAAGCCAGCAACCTGCTCGTGGAAGTGATCGACCATAATCTCCGCCTTCAGGCGGATGGCGTGCTCGTGGTCCTCCACGTAGCGGCGCAGCTTCTTTCCGGCCCGCTTGGTATCGAACTCCGGGTCTCCCTCCACCGTCTTGATCAGACGATAGTAGCTGTCCACCGGCGTGTAGTGCTCCAGCACGTCGAGGATGAAGCCTTCCTCAATTGCCTGTTTCATGGTGTAGACGTGGAATGGGAGATGCCTGGTGTTCCCGCCTTCTGGCGACGGGTCGCCGAAGATTTCCAGGGTCTTGTTCTTGGGGGTGGCTGTGAAGGCGAAGTAACTGGCGTTGGGCAGCAACTTCTTGCTCTCCATCAACCGGTTGATCTTATCCTCAGTGGTCTCCTCCTCGTCTTCCGTACCGGCTTCCCCCAAGGCCATCGACACCGATGCCGAAGTCCGTCCGCCCTGGCTCGAATGCGCCTCGTCGATGATGATGGCGAACTTGCTCCCGCGGTGCTCGTCGCCGATGGCGTCCAGGATGAACGGGAACTTCTGGACGGTGGTGATGACGATCCGCTTGCCCTCCTGGAGCAGGGTGCGGAGGCGGCCGGAGGTCTCGGCATGACCCACGACGGAGCCGACCTGGGCGAACTGCCTGATGGTGTCCCGTATCTGCTTGTCCAGTATCCTGCGGTCCGTCACGACGATGGCGGAATCGAAAAGCGCCTTGCCGTCCTGCTCCAGCCCGATTAGCTGGTGGGCCAGCCACGCGATGGAGTTGGACTTGCCGCTGCCCGCCGAGTGCTGAATCAGATACCTGGGGCCGACTCCCCTACCGGGTACGTCGCCCAACAGCCTGCGCACCACGTCCAACTGGTGGTAGCGCGGCCATATCTGCTCCCGCCTCTTGCGTCCGGTCTTGTCGTCCCTCGTCTCCACGATCTGAGCGTAGTTCTCGATGATGTCGGTGAGCCCGTCACGGGTGAGGACCTGCTTCCAGAGGTAGTCGGTCTTGAGGCCGTTGGGGTTCGGCGGATTGCCCTTGCCGTCGTTCCATCCCTGGTTGAAGGGCAGGAACCACGACGCCTTGCCTTTGAGATGGGTACAGAATTGCACCTCGTGGTCGTCCACGGCGAAGTGGGCCAGGCAGCGGCCCAGCTCGAAGAGCTTCTCCCGTGGGTTGCGGTCCCGCTTGTACTGCTCGACCGCATCATCCACCGTCTGCTTCGTCAGGCTGTTCTTCAGCTCGAAGGTGGCGACGGGCAAGCCGTTGATGAACAGGCACAGGTCGAGGGCAAGCTGGGTCTGGTCCTGGCTGTAGTGGAGTTGCCTCGTCACGCTGAAGCGGTTCTGCCCGTACTGCACCTTGGCCTTCTCGTTCCCCGGCGATGGCGTGCCGTACATCAGGTCCATTTGGTGCGGCCCGTGCTTGACGCCCTTGCGGAGCACGTCAATAGTCCCTCGCCGGGTGACTTCCCCTTGCAGCCGGGCCAGGAACTTGCGCCGCGTCGGACTGTCCTGGCCGAGGTCCAGCGAGTCGGCGGCAACGGGCTGGGTGGCGTGGAGGAAGGCGCGAAACTGGGCCAGGTCCACGCAGTACTCCCGGTCATAGTCCCGCGTGTCGCCGCATATCCAGCCGACGCCGTAGCCGGCCGGCCGCTCGTGCACCATGCCGCCCTGCGGCGGGTCGCAGGGGGCTCCCGTCAGCGCCGTGCAGATGAGGCGCTCAAGCCCCTTCTCGCTTGTGTCGGTGGTCACGCTATGCCTCGCCTCTCATCGGAATGGCGACTTCCCGCACCTCACCGGGCCGTATCCCCTCGAGGGCGTTGCGAATATCCTCGATCTTTGGCTCGATGAGCGGCCACCGGTTCGCGCCGAGAACGATCAGCGCGAAGCTTCGGCTCCCGATGTTCTGCTGGTATGGCATGGTCCTGTCCGCAGTAATCACGACTTCATACCTGCTTCTTCCGCCCGGTCCAGCAATTCGCCATTGACAAGCGTTGCCCACCCGCGCTCCTCCGCCACCTCAACGTCGTGACCGACGAGGTGACGGCGAAGCTGCCGAGGCACATTGTGGTCAAACAGGATTCGCATGCGAGACCTTAGCGACCTTGGCGTCAAGGTCTTGCACGATGAACTCCAAGACCGCCCGCACCTGTGTTTCGTCCACCCCGCCGAACCACTCGATGAAGTCGTGGACAGCTGCGCCCTCCGCAAGGTTCCCGAAAAGGGCCGACACGGGCAGCCGCGTGTCCTTGAACACCCAAGCCCCGCTCACCTTGCCGGGCACGCTTTCGACCGCCGGGCACTTGCTCCAGTCCGTCATGCTGTCACCTCGCTTTCCATGGCAGTTTCCTCTTCCGCCTCATCTGGCTCATTGGGGTCATTGCCCATATTGTCCGCCATCAGACCATCCCCGTCTATTGGCTCGTCCTCGTCGTCCTCCTCCGGCAGCTGCGCCGCCGCCTCGCGCACGTCCAGCTTGCCGGTCACCACGTCGGCGATGAGCCGCGTGCGGTACTCTTGCACCAGCTCGACCTGGCGGCGGGCGCGGGCGCGGGCGGCGTCGATGGCAGCGGTGGCATTGTCCAGGTATTCGATGATGGCGCGTTGCTCGGAGGGCGGGGGGAGTGCTACAGGAAAGTTCTGCAACATTGGAAGCCGTAAAGAATCCACGGTCGATTTCGCGGTTCCCTGGAACACCTCATTGCATAGCGTGGACCTAACATAGTGGAAAAAGAACTGCCCGAGTATGTGCCTAAAATCGCTGAACTTGTAGACACGTTGGTGGTAGTCAAACTTTCCGTTGATGTAATGGAATACCTTGCCCACACCTACGCCGTCCCCGGCCGTCAAAACCGCCTCACCGTCGAAAGACCATGTGTCGATCCTCTCCACAGTTTGCGAGCGAACGAAAAAGGGGTGCAGTCCATCTTCTTTACGATTGATAGTATCGCGTCCGCCAGTCCCAATAGCAGCCAGAGACTTCAGTCGCCACACTTCCCAATGCTCCGGCACATCGCCGAGCCACTCGACGCCGGAGTGCTTGAGGCGGACGTTCGGGTCGAGGCCGCGGGTGACGGCCCGGTTGACGATGGCCTGCTTCTCCTCCTTCAGCAGCGCGATGAGCTTCCGCCTGGCGCTGACGTACCGTCGGATGCGCCGGTCCACGTAGTCCAAGTAGCGGACGATGGAGACTTGCTCGGGGAGGGGTGGCAGGGACAACCACAGATATTTGAGCTGGCCGCCATAAATGTGCATGATGGTGATGCCCCGCCCCATCAGGGATTTCTGCGTTTGAGCAGCGGGGCAGTCCAGTGCGTAGCCAGCAAACTTGGGTTCCATTGGCATTGTTGGCCGTAATACGATCAAGTCTCCACCGCAGAGAACCTGAGTGTGCATCAAGTTGACGGCCGACTTGCCAATCTCCTCTATGGTCTCTCCTGACGTAGGGAAGAGAACGTCGCCCCTATTGATTGGGCGTAGGTCTCAAATTGACCAGTTAGGCGGCCCGTCCGTGCGCCAATTTTGTAGATAAACCAACAATACCCCAGAGGAGTGCTGCCCATCACCCACCGTCCTACGTGACACTTTGTCACCTCGCAGCATCAATCATGTCCCCAAGCCGTACCAAACCCCCTCAGAATCGCTCAATTTCGGACTTACACCCTATTGATTGGCGTATAAGCGCTGGCTTTCGCAGGCGAAACGTAACTTCGTGTCTGGCTTATGAAGGACTTGTGCGTCGTGTATAGGTCTCCATACCGGACACACGGTATCCCATCAGGAACCTCGTCATCCTTCGTTCCTCCGGAGCCTTTGGAGAAGACGCCAACCCTACCGAGCTGGACAACCTCCCAATGCTCCGGCACGTTGCTGAGCCAAGGGACGCCGGAGGGCTTGTAGGCGGGGTAGGGGTAGATCTCGCTAATCATGCGGGGCTCGCATTTTGTACGGGTACGGGGATGGGAGTAGGGATGGCTAGACGATCTCGTATTTCTTCATAAATCGGAATGTTCAAGTCCTCCGCGACTTCTAGGGTCACCGTCAAACCGTACCGTATTGGTTGGGTTATTACCCCGGCATCAGCGCGACAGTTTACTTTGATTACAACGGCGTCTCCGTCTTGAAAGGCTGTAGCATTGCCCCCTTCCAGGACTTCATGCTGGACGGTTCCTCTTTGGACAGCTCTGTAGTCTGCGTACAACCGACGCGGGGTAATCGTATTCCGTTCGGTTGGACTAAACCAAAGGTGAGCGATGCGATAGCTCTGGCGGGTACTGCTCACAGGTGTCAGCCAGGCCAGAGTAACGGTGAGGCGACGTGTATCAGTTACGGCGGAAAGGCTGGGTGGTAAAGGGAGGGTGAACTCGTCAGCATCCCCGTCTCCAAGCGCCCCAACTCCCAGGATCGTAACACGTTGATCTGTGCAGGCTAGAACTCTGGCAATGTTAGCTGATCCATATCCAAGAAAACGTCCAACATATTCTCTGAAAGTCTTACTATTGTGGCCATTCTTTAGGACCTGCTGATATAGACCCCAAGCGTTCGCCCAGTCTGAACCGTGAACAAGGAGTGCTTTTAGCAAGACAGCATCATGATCCTGGGGCAGTGTTCCTGGAGAGTCTAGTCGCAACTGTTCGATGACGTCATACATTAGGGCGTAGGTCTCAAATTGACCAGTTAGGCGGCCCGTCCGTGCGCCAATTTTGTAGATAAACCAACAATACCCCAGAGGAGTGCTGCCCATCACCCACGTCTAGTGACATTGTCACTCGCGCATCAATCATGTCCCCAAGCGTACCAACCCTCAGAATCGCTCAATTTCGGACTTACACCCATACATTAGCATAGTGCTACGGGAAGCCAGAGCAGCAGCGTTACTTGTACCTCGTGTGTGGCAACTGCTGTCTAAGCGGCCCTGTATCCCAGGAGTAGCAACACGTTGACCAGGTGGACTGATGTGACGAGCTACTTCCAGGATTGCCGTTGGATGACTATTACCTAGCTTCTCGGACAGAAACTGACGGCCGCCGGGCAGAAGCACCTCCGGTTTAATGGTCCTCCGGTACCCAGGTCCATGCGCGTTTATGACACTGGGAAGGCCATCATAGGTGAATGGATCAAGTAGGAAGTTCAAGGCGATGGCTGAGGCGTCCTGGTGAGTCGCCGCAACCGTCAGGCCATTGAATGTCTCTGCTGGTGATAATAGTCGGCGATTCCGGGTGTCTTCTGCTGTCGCTTCGATCACTGACTTCTGGAGTTCATCTGGAGTCAGCGTAGGAAGCGCAGCTCGTGCGATGTTCAACTGGATAGGATTTGCGTGGTTGCCCGCGCTGACTATAAATAGGACGTTGTACTTTGAGGCCAGCCAATCCAGCAGGCGGGCCATCGGGCTAATCTCACGATTAAATGGTCGAGCCACATCGCACACAGAGAGATTGATTACCCGTACTTGCGGTGCTGCAGGTGGTTGGTCGCCCTCGGGTTCGTACAGACGCCGTACCGCGCGATGTATCAGATCGACCGGCAGTACATCCTGCGGTATTGATTCATGAAATTGACCTCCAAAGCCGCGTCGAGGTTTCATGATCGGTCGAGCGTAGATACGTCGTTCTACCGGACGACCGCGCTCTTCTAGGTCCCCATGGCAGATAAGCGAGGCCATCATAGTTCCATGAAACCGTTCGCTGGCTTGGTAGGCGCTTTCGTAGTCGTCTGGATCATCAAGGTCGACTCGGTCGTCGAGCAGTTGGTGTCGTGTTAGCGGCAGGCCGTCGAACAGCGCTACAATTGGATCACCTAATGGACTATCCGGAGGGGCTCCTTCTCCCAGAGCATCGACTTCGTCCATATTCTCCGGTACGAGCACAGCGCACTGTCCCACAGGGCGAATGTGCATTATCTGGTCACATATGAGTAGCCTGGCGTTCGCTCGTGTGTCTGGGTCTTGTATCAAGCTCTGTATGTGAATCCTTGGTATGTTTCCCAAAATGGCATGATAGGCAACTTCAGGGATGACGCATTGCTGGATCACTTCACCATCCAGAGAGGATATGACGCTACGAAGATACGACTCGGCTTGTGTCCGCTGAGAGGAGTCATTTCTGAACCACAGTTCAGCTTCAAAGGGTATAGTCTCCTCTCCAGACTCTAGCCGGTCTTCCCAGTCGGCAAGGACCCCTGTTTCTCTGAGACGGTCCTCTACCTCCCAATGCCGGATGGTGTGTAGGCGAGCGAAGGCGTGCTTGAGTGGCGCGAGTCCGGAAGGAAAGCTAAGGTCTTGGTTCTCCTGCCATAGACTAAAATACCTCTGCATCTGTCGCAGAGCTTCCTGATCCGTCATTACTAAGAACAATTGGCCTGCCAACTGCTTCTGTGGGTCTTTCGCATCTTCAAATCCGTACTCAGGATCGATTGGATCGCTCTCGAATTCTCCCAGCCATTCCAGTCCATCAATTTTTCTTACGGCGTTGATGAAATCATTGATAGTGCCGACAGTCTCTAGGACTAGGACCTGCTCTGGCTGGATGCCGAGAGTGGTATTCTGTAGAGAGACTCGCCTCTGCTCCATAGCGTCTTGAAGTCGGCTAAATTGTGGAGCCAATCGTTGGGCTTGTCGACCAGCCTCTGGAATACGCGGACGACCACCACCCCCACCACGTCCGGATCGCTCTGCATGGGTTGGCTCGGGAAAGACGAGGAGAGGATGCTCTGGCATAGTTAATCGCGCTCCTCATAGTCGTCTGATTGGTTGACATTGAATCGCTTGCTCCAGTGACGCAGCCGCTGGTCAGTGATTCTCTTGACGTTGGCGTTCGGTTTGTCTAGTAACACTCTTCGTAGGACATCCATCCCAAAGTCTTCGACCTCAGCGAAACTCAGCCCTTTTAGCCTCATTGCAAGACTGCGCGGGGAAAGGGCCAGCCCACACTCTGTACGAGTCTCGAATCTCTTGAACCACTCTTCAATTTGACTCTGCTGCGGCATCGGTAATTCCAAGCGAACCTGGAACCGGCGCCACACTGCACGGTCAAGGAGCTCAGGATGGTTACTCGCCGTCACAACAACGACGTAACTTGGCAGCGCGTCGATTTGGAGCAGTAGCGAGCTCACGACACGTTTGATTTCTCCCGTCTCGTGGCGGTCGCCTCGCTCTTTGCCCACCGTGTCGAACTCGTCGAAGAACAATACACATCGTCGGGATCTGGCATACTCGAAGACTTGGCCAATACGTTGCGCTGTTTCTCCGAGATAGCTTAGATCTGATTAATTAAAATAAGAATGTGTGTGACAATAAAAAGAGGAGAGTTAGTGGAAACTGTATAAGTGAATTTAATAATGGCCGATTTTTTGTCTTGCCATTTTCCAGTCTGGTCCTGTGCCAACAGCACAACGATTTGCGCGGGTTCTAAAGGTTATTGTGCCCGGAGAAGATGCTCGATGCTGTTGTCTTTCTACAAGATCGCGTATGACTTCGGTGACCTCTATTTGTGTCCATGTCCGGGTGGTGGGCAAGGACAGGTAGTGTATAGTTATCAATGTTCATTTCATAGCCGCCGCCTTTTTTTGTGAATAACTTCTGGCTAAAAGTGGTGTTCCGGAGAGGAAAGTGGAGTATTGGACCAGTCGGAATTCATTTGGTTGTTGTTGGGCGAACGTTTTATAGTGTGCTCGTTGTTCAATTGAATCGAAGTTGCGCAAGCAATCTGTCGGCCAGAATCGTATGACTCTTCCGAACGCTGTCATACGTATTTTGCAAAGTTTTGAGTTTCATACCGGTTTTCTCTGGAACTTAGCCTTGATCGTTCCTTGCGCACCGGCCTTTGACGAGGAGAATATCAAATTCCGCT